TTCATTGCTTCTGCGTTTTTTTTTTTTTTTTTTTTTAAAATAATAAAATTTAGTGTATCAGTGAGTATGAATTTCTCAGAATCCCATAATTCTAATGCTTCAACATAAATGGCATGCCAATCCCCCTTTGTAAACTTCTACTATTTGCCATTCTGGACTCTTGACCAATGATGCTTAATGAGTAAAACACTTATGGAACTTTATATATTATATATCGACTTTTTTTTTTTTTTAACTCAGACGAGAAAGGAGTGTTTATGTGTTATTTATGCCACGCAAAACATTGAAAACTCATTGAAATGGAATTGTGTTTTTTTTTTCTTTAAACAACAGGTTGGGGCGTTATGCTCTATTGCGGGTGAAATATAATTGGGGATAATTAAAAGGGGATTATCAATATTTTAAATGAAATACCTATTTTGTGGCAGAAAAATTTCATTAATTGTGAAAAAAAAAAAAATAAAAATAATCACCTGTTTTGAAATTTAAAGAAAAATTGACAATACCTTGATGAGGTTTTGTTCGTAGTTCACCAACCGAGTGCCTGCCGCAGATACATATATCTTTCCCTCCTTTGTGCAATTTTTCGTCATTTTGAAGAAATACATGACGCGTCGCATTTCGTAAGAAAAGAGGGGGAGGGTGGGCACGTGTACTGCCCTTCTGATTGTTCTAAAGAGAAAAGGGACATACCTACCTTACATGCATATGTACATTACTTACTTTTGTACATTTTTTGGCTATGACATGCTTCCCTAGTGACTCTTACATGTACTGATTGACATGTAGATGAAATTCTTAATGCGCTTATGTATATACATATATAGAACAAGAGAAAAGATGAGGTTTACCGAGGCTTGGCTAACAACAAAAAATCACGATCAACCTACACTTACGTTTTAATTCCATTTATGTTTTCCCCTTTGAGAAAATAGATAATACTTGTATGCCTGTACATAAACAGTAAAAGTGTATGAATGAATTTATGTATGTATGAATGTATAAATGTAGGTATGTATTTTTTTTTTTTTTTTCGTTTACATATCTTTTTGCGCAAGCCCGTCGAGAAGTGTTAACATTCAGTCGGGGAGAAGGCCCTAAGTGTCGCATAAGGTGTACGAAGAGGCCGTACAAACAGGGCCTACGCGTGACTCTCACCTGACGACTGATACATGTTACACTGCGCTACATGGTGTGTTCAGCTGGGCGGCTAACAACTGCACAGGCTTCTATAAGAAAAGCGATTCATTAAGAAGCCTTTGTTACCTGTAACCTTTGCTTCACGCCTCCTCCTCTTTTTTTTTTCACTTCCAACCTCACTTCTTCCTTCTGCACCTAAGGGGAAACAAATTGCAGTCCTCAAAATTATTTGGGACGAAACAAAGCTTAGTAAAACATGGCGCTCATTTCATGTATGTGCGAAGAAACCAATCGAATGGGCCACCCCGTCTAAAATGTTACTTAGGCAGTCAGTCGGTCCTTGTACGATGAATTGTGCATGCGCCAGGTGGGGAGTGCGTGGGCATACCTCTTCGTATACCTACCTGTGTGTACATACACTTGTGTGTATGCGTGCACACGTGTATGTACATGTGTGTGACCATGTATTTCTGGAATTGTGACTTATATGAGACGGGGAAGTAGCCTAACACACCTACCTTTAGGCAAATTCTCCGTGCACACAAGTATATTCATAACAATTAGGTTGTCACTAAGACATTTCTTTGCAGGGTTTGTTATGTACCCTTATTTATTTTTTATTTTTTTTTTTGCAAGTATGTTTCATTAAATAGAGTCATTATGCGCTTTTTCTTTTTTTCTTCCCTCTTTCTATGTACGCTCGAGTAACTTGAGGGTTTCTAATTCACGTGACTGAGGCGGCTCCAAGCATTACTGTGTCAAGCTTCGTCCATCCTTTCGACTTCACCGAAGGTATAGACGTCTACTTTGACGTAGCCTCTACATTTCTCCCGTGGACTTGGATTATAATTTTGATTACAATTTTGATAATTTTCATAACTTTGGTAACTTTGATAACTTAGATAGCTTTGATTTTTTTTTTTTTTTTTGCCACACGCCCGTGCAGCGCCACTTCCGAACGGTCCCCTCAGCTGCGAAACATACCCGTAGCTAGTTCCGCTACACTTTTTTTCTTTTTTTTTTTTACGTCACAGTGTGAATTTTTGGTGCAGTAGTTTCGCAGCTCATTCTGGAGGAGTGTTCCTCCAGGGGTCATCGAGCGTGTTGGCTGATGAGCGGAGCGCTGACTGCCTCCTCTAGTGCAGACGACTGCGGCGAGCACACCGGTGACTGCACAGTCTAGTGTGGACCTGTGCCCGTGGGTAGTAGGCCCCTCGCCCCAAGCCACTCCCCCCCGGCACAAACATGTGGAACATATTCGCTAACGAAGACCTCTCATTGCACATCGAAAAAAGGGGAGAAGAAAGTTCAGAAAAAAAAATCAGGAAAAAAAAAGGGCTCGAAACGGCGACCAACAAAAATGGACTGACCAAGTCAGGATCCAATGGTTCCTCCTTGTCTAAACATGACAGCAAAATAAAGGAATTGAGAAAAAATTTCAGAAAAAAATACAGGATAGTGCGCACGCAGTTATTGAAGATAATCAAAATTCTGAAGCAGTTTCCTGAGGTCGACGCAGAGGCAGAGGAGGAGAAGAAGAAAAGCAGCAAGACGGAAAAGGGCCAGGCAGCAAAGGACAATGCTGAAAGGGATAAAGTTCGAGGCGACAGTGTTCGAGGAGATAATGTTGACAAGGGAAAAGGCGGAAAGAAGAAGGAACATGGGGAAAGGACCACTAACACCACCACCCCTGATGGCAGTGACAACCAAACTATAATGGTCCAAGTGGAGCTCATCAAAAAACTAAACAGGATAATCGAAAAAATTGATGTAGAAAAATTGAAGGAAAAGAAAAGGATAAAAACAAAGCAAAATAATAAAGGAAAAAATGAAGAGGAGGGATTAAAAAATAAATCAGCCAAGCAAACTTTCACCCCGAAGCCTTCTGTTGCACCTCCAAAAAATGATTCACACAAAAATAACATAAACGTAGTGAAAAATTCCCCGAAAAAAAAATTCCCCTCCAAATCGGCAAATAATTTCCAATACTTTAATCCTGACGACATGGGTGAAAATGCAGGGGGGATGATTTTACTCCAGAATGAGCAAAACAGCTTTAGGAATGAGTACTTTAAAAATAGCGCCATGAATGTTTACAGTAAAAAAAACAATGGGGGGAATGTTTATCACGACACGGATGACATGGTAGTGACGGACTCTTATATGTACTGTTCTACCCTGAATGCGGGTTCAATTGGGAAGAAGTCCCACTGGCTGGGGGATAACATGAATCATGCCATCACGAATGATAACGCTGGGTATGGAGGAAGCAGTGGTGTGTACGGCGGCAGCAATGGTGTGTACGGCAGCAGCCATGGTGTGTACGGTGGCAGCAATGGTGTGTACGGTGGCAGCAATGGTGTCTACGACGGTAGCAATGGTGTGTACGACGGTAGCAATGGTGGGTACGGCTACAACAATTTTGGAGGAAATAACTATGGCTACTCGCCCGTAAATTATAGCTACGATAGTGGAAATTACGACTACGCGGGGGGGAGCTTCAACTGCAACTACGGAGGTCACAACTATAACGGTGGAAACTATGGGAGCAGTACGTACAGCAGCGGACATTACGATAGTGGGAACTATGCTAGCGGAAGCTACAACTACGAAGCGAATAATAACGGTCCCTTCAGAGTCAAGGGAAACCACTTCGCTGGAAATAGCAACCAAGAAAAAGGCGCAGGAAACAAAATATTCTTTCAAAAAATGGCGTCTGCATCTTATACGAAGAGTTTCAAGGGTGGAGTACCACCCCATTACGAGCCCCAGAATTTCCCCAACGTAGCGGAGGGGTACTACACACAAAACAGAAACAATAAAGGTAATATGAACAATAAAAAAAAGGGCTTTAAGTTTGCTAAGGACGAAAAGATTAGGGGCTTACTGCGCACAGCAACGAATGAAGACGATTTGGTGAAGGCCATCGGCTTTGCTAAGAATGCAGGCCTCCATTTTGAGGCCAAATTGGGAAGCAAAAAGCTTAACAAGCTCAAGTTAGAGGGGGAAGACGGGGTTCCTTCGGAGGTTTGATTTGTGGGCACATATGCGCGCGGGGTGGAAGCAAACTCTGGTGGAAGTACACGTAAGTGGAAGCACACCTCGGTTGATGCGTAAAATAGTCTCCCGCCCCGCCCCAGTTAATTGACCCTTTGCCATTTTCTGCATTCCCAAATTTCACCCAATCAAGTGAGAACACTCCTGTATGCTGTTATCAGAGGAAACAGGGGAAACTTGACAGGATGTGACTTCCAGACCGCCGTTTCCACATTAAGCGTTCCGTCATTTCTAAACAGGTGCATGTGTACCACGTATATAAATATAGAAACATATGAAGAACGCATTCTGTGCAAAATGCCATTTGTAAAGTGCGACAATTTTTTTTTTTTTTTTTTTCTCGTTAATTTTTTTTGTTTTGGTATTCCCCATTTTTCGCCACCGTATCTTTTGCACATTTCTGTAAAGCAACCATGCATATATACACGCACCCTGATTATGTAGCATAAGTGCACGTTTCATGTATGTGCCTACCTGGATGTGCCAGGGGGGCTGGTCCCGCGTTTTTAACTCTTCACAATTTGCCCCGTATGACGATATTAAAGAAAAGGGGCCTTCAAAACGGCGTACCACAAGGTGAAATGCGGTCATGTAACATCAAGGGGGGAAACGTGCGTGAAGGGGGGAAAGCTCAGTGGCCCTCATATAAGCATCCGCGCATACGCATATATTTTATATCTACATCTATATAAATAGATGTATCTATGAAGAAAAGTATATATAAATAGATGTATATACCAATATATGTATATATAGATATTTATGTATAGATGGCGAACGTTGGGCAATCCCGGGGGGGCCCAATCGGACCTGCTGGCAATGGACGCCGTCGTCAAAATGGGCTCGGTCCAAATTGGTTCACTCTCTCCTTTGGGGCGCTCTGAACAGCGGTAATTTCATCAGAGGACTCGTTGTATTTCATTCTTGCAGCACAGGGTTGACGCTATTTACGTGTACATTTATGGAGCCGTTTACAAGGCAAAAAAAAACAGAAAAAAAAAAAAAAAAAATGACAAAATTAGCGAATGAAAGAATGATCAAATGAACAGAGCAGAATAACAGCACCTGGTGTACATTCCAAATGCAGTGCTACAAGAGGGGGAAGGAATATTTAGAGATGACAACTCCACAAATTTAGAAAAAAAAAACAAAAAAAAAAGAAAAAAAAAATCCCAAGGAATTCAAAAACAAGTTTTGCGAAATGTACCAACCGGATTTGCACACTCAGTTTGTTCTTGTGAGGATCCGAAAAGGAAGGATTCCATAGCTGTTGTTAAAACGAATGCTTCTGTTTTGCTCTGCTGCCGCTGCCTCCATATAGAAAAAGCACGAAAGAGAGGGGCAGAATTGTGAAACGTGCATACTTATATGTGATCCCCCGCTGCGGACTGTAATAATGTTTTTTTTTTTTTTCCTTTTAAAACGTAGAAATAGAAAGGATAATAAAAGGGTGATTAGATATACCTACTCGAATGATGCAAAGGAGGAGAAGACTTCACACAATTTTACAAACTTATCATTTCACTAACTGGATTTGCCTGAAACCGAAGGTTTCTTCCCCTTCTCCCTTCATTTTTAAGGGGGAGTTTCTCTTCAGGAAGAGAAGCTTTTCCATTTTTTCAAGGCTGGTAGAATGGTCCTCCCTGTATGGGAGTAACAAGGGTGTTGATCTCACCAGGGAGGGTACGCAGAGAGGCGAAACAGAAAAAGTTATAACCCCCAATGGGCAGGCACCTTTAGATAGCGGTAATACACAGAGGCACGACTCCCCTCCGCAGCTGTGCGAAAACACCCAGTGCTGCCACACTTCTGAGGTGAAGGTGAGCCAAGGATTTGCTAACGATCTCACTGGGGGGATATGTAGCCCGATAGAGGCGGATCTGCACATACACCGGAATGTAGACTCAGGAGTTATTGCTAAGATGGGAGAATCGGCCGCGAAGACCGCTCCCTTGGAACCAAGCGAGAGTACTAACGACAGTGTAATTGGAGAAAAAAAAACCAAAAAAAAGAAAAAAAATGCACCAAGGGAAAAGGGCAAAAAGGAAAGACCGAAAGGTGATGGGACGAAGCGCGAGGGGGGGACGCTCAGGGGAGACCCCCCCAAGTGCATCCCTCCAGTGGAGGAACAGGAACAAAAAAAAAAAAATCAAAATGGGAAGAAAAATAGAAAGCAAAATGGAACGCAGAATGGGACGAAAAATGGAACGCAAAACGAGATGCAGAATGGGAAGCAAAAGAAGAAGCAAAAGAAAAGAAAAAAAACAAAAGAAAACTGTCAGAATGACGAAATGGAGGTCACCCCCCCAAGCGAGAACGAACGGACGATCCAGAAAAGCACTGGAAACGCCTCCGATAAGGCAACCCAAGAGAACGAAGGCGACAAATGCATCAGCAAAAAGTTCAGTAAGGAAGATTACTACAAACAATTTGAATTGATAAGTAAAAACAGTAATATCATCATGGAGAAAATAAACGGAGTGACGGACATCTCCACCTTTGTCCACAAACACATAGCGTCACTACATTTTGGAAACATTTACGCATACAACAATTTACTTTACGAAATATACGACAAATTTGTAGATGGGGACATTAAGAAGGTGAAAAAATTAATAAAGAATTATAGCAAATTGATAAAGAAAAATCTTCAACGAAAAATAAAATACTTTGAGGCGTTTCACGAAATGTGTCCACAGGAGTACAGCCATGTGTTGACTTGTCTGTTTATTCAATCGATTGACATATTAAAGGATGAAGATATCAGCCACACGTTTAATTATGACAAGGTCATATGTACCAGTAAGGATACTGAAGGGGGGGGAACAGAGATTCCTGGGGAGGAGCAGGAGGAGGAAGAAGAAGAGGCGGCCTTCTCAAATTTGGAAAGAAATGTTGACAGGGGAGAGGTGAAGAATGGCACGACGCCCTGCGTGGAGAATGGCAACAGCGACGGGGAAGCGGTTGGCAGCCTGGGTGGTAACGCCGGTGCCCACTCTGGCCAAGGGGAAAGGGGGGGGAAGAAGCCCCCACGCGCGCTTCCCCAGCAGAGGCAGTTCAGCCCTAGTAGCAAGATTGTGTACGAAATGGATGTGCACTTCGACGAGGGAGAAGCGGAAGAAGTGACCTGCCCGGGCGAAACCAACCGCCCCCGCGACGATGACGAGGCGAGCACCAGCGCGCACAGCATCAACGAAAACAACTTCATCATTGTGTACGACCTGCCCATGATCAACTACGAGCTGCTAAGAGTGGAGCTAAAAGAAGCCTTCTCCTTCTGCGGAGAAATAAAGAGCATGGAATTTTTCAGTGACCGTCTTAAAACGGTAGACATAAACGCACTAAATGATGAAGAAGAAATAGACAGTTCGAAAAGTGTGCGATCTGGTAAGAGTAAGAAGATTGGAAACACGCCCAATGGAAATGCAAAGGGGGGAAAGAGCAACAAACCTAAATGCACTAATGGGAACAGAATTCATAATTCATTTAACCTGAATAGCTACACAAAACTGTACGCCATTATAGAATTTTTTGAGGAAAAATCTGCAACCCTAGCCACCAGCGAATTTTTGAGGATTTTTGGCATTTTCTGTTTCAACAAATTAGTCTATGTAGATAAATGTGTAAATAAAAACATCATGATCATAACGCACCTTCCTTTTCATTTGAATATTTACAATATATTTTACTTGCTATTAAATGCCTCTTTATTCAAATTCGATGTTCTGAGTGGAGTGGGAGAAGGGGAAGGTGCTCCGAAATTAGGCGTCTCCAAGGGTGGAAACTGCGGTGAGGAGGATCAGCCAATCGGCCAAAGTAATCACCCAAGAGTAATTTCAGATGGTCGCAAACCAATTTCTGGGCAGAAAAGGAAGAGAAGGTGTGAAATTAGACTCCGAAACAGCAACATGCGTATTGAAAGCTGCGATTCGATTTTTGGTGAAGCACATGGAATGGGAAGCCGAGATGTGTACGATTATATATGCGAAATTTCTAAAAAGAACTTTCTACAGTTTAAGAAGAAGAAAAACATAAAATTGGAAGCATGGACAAATGATGATAACAATGGCACGGAGGAAAAGAACAACAACTTCGAGTCATTTGCCGATTTTTATCAAAATCAAAATAAAAAAATGAAGACGAGAAAGGTGAATGTCCATAACAATGGACGAATTTTAATTCTCCACTTTGACAGCTTTAAATATCTGTATGATTGCTTGAAAAAGTTTAAGCATATTTTCGGTAAAAAAAATCATATGATTTTTTCGGTCAACTTGAGGAGGTGCATTTATCGGAATGGCGCAATCAGGGACTGTGTGCAGGTTAAAGATGGCAGGATTGGGAGGGGCCTTAATGTGGAGGCCTAGTCGTCAGTAGGATGATGGGTGTGTCGATGTGGAAATTATTTTGAAGAGAAGGATAAATTTTCTTTCTTTTTTTTCTTTTCTTTCTCTTCTTTCTTTTCTTTCTTTTTAACCCCACAACATCCGCACATATGGATGCTACGACGCGTTTGAGCAAATGGCCAAAGTGAACGACGTTACCGTTATGCCTGATGAGGAGGTTCTCATCTGCCTGCACATTTCTTGTGTGCCTGTTTGGCCACCCACCCAGCGAACGAACGAACGAAGAAAAGAAGGAGGAAAGAAACGAACGAGGAAACGAACCAGCCAAACACCCCCTTTTTATGGCTCCCCCGGTACGATCCTTCTTTCCTCATTTATTTTTTCGTCCTTTTTTTTGTAAAGAGAAACAACTTCGCGATGTACACACCTGTGTGGATAAATGTACACACGAATAAATGGCACACCTTTGTTCTATTTTGAAAACTTTTGACAACTTCCCCCACCGTTTCTTTTCTCATTTGTAACATAACGACGCTGTACCCTGCGTGGCACTGGTAATGTTTCCAAGTCCAACTTTTGAAAATGTCACCAAATGGGTTGGCAAAGGGAGTAGTTAGCGTGGCCAGATCTCTCGTTTACGCACACCGAATGGGGCAGTATAACCTATTTTGTGAAACCCCTTTTAACGGCTTTATTTCTGCCATATCTATATGGATTTTTGAAGGAGCGATATTGACTACCCATTGGAAGCAATTCTGATAAATAATCCCCCTACCTCCGTAACACCCCCATTTGCCTAAGATCCCCTGTTGGAAAACTACGCTGTGTTTATAACGTATGCAAAATGGTTTATCCGGTTGGTGAACACAAAAGAAAAAAAAAATGAGCATACCATCCTCATCTAGCGCACGCCGGGCGAGGCCCAATTCCATCAGCTCCTGGAAGTGTAGTGTGTCACATGTGGCAAGTCAAAAAATGAGTATTCGAGAACGTCACGAACGTGTAGGATGTCTGGAAAAGTGTGAGTAAAATATCTGCCACGCAGGATGTACGAAATGGTAGCATGGCTAAGATGGTGTATGTGGCATAAAGGGCGTAGTATCTGTGTATGTGGGGGGGGGCATTCTTCTTCTACATTTGCAACAACTTTTCTCCTTGTGCTGTATACACCTGGGTGCATAATACCAACACTGTTATATGTAGCCTCTCCCATGAGGAAAAATCTTCCCCGTGTGTGGGATGGCACTGACACAGGTATTAAATAGTATGCACAACCGAATGCGCTTCTTTCTTTTGTCAACATTTGGAATTATTTTAATTTGGGTTAATTTGAACAGTTTAGAGAAAATGGAGGAGGGGCGATAAAAGTACTATGTTAAAAAAGTATACATTAAAAATGGGAAAAAGAAAAAAAAAAGATACAGGGGGAACGGAAGCTCTACAGGAGGCAGCAAAAATTAGGGAAGTAGTGTCCATGGGAAAGTTCACTTTGAGTGGGTTCGCCCCCTTCAGCAGAGATGAAAAAGAGAAAGTGTTTTTCCCCATAGGGTTTCTTTATGCATGTCTCTGCCCTGTCTCCTCTGTTTGCTCTACTCAGTCTGCTTTGTCTCCTCTGCTCGGCTTCCCAAACAGCAGACGGGTTATATAAATCCGAAGCCCTCCTTTCCTTCCATGATGGCCCTGATTAATTTGCTTCTTAACAACTCCTTGGAGGAATACTCAGGTAGGTCCAGTTGGTTGAAGCAGGTGTGGGCAGTGGGGAGGCGGTCCTCGCCGTAGGCCCTGTAAATAATCATCTTCTGTGCACCCCTCATTCCCATGAGATTTTTAAAACCACCTAGGGGGACTCTACTCGTTCCAGTAACGAACTGTAAGAAAGAAGCCTTTTTATTTTCATCAAATTCTTGGAGTATATCCCATAACCAAATAATTTGAATCGAGTTAGGTGAATAATTGTGGTATTCGACATTCTCTTTTAGGTCGTTTAGGTCTATAGTGGGAATACCACTAATGAGTAATTCCAACTCTTTGTCATCGAAAATGGAGATCAGTTTGGGTTGAATTAGCTCCTTGAAACCATCCATAAAAGCTTCTAACTGTTCCTTTATACTGTTGGTTACTTTCATCTCACATAGAAGCTCAATGTACTTGTGTTTATTTTCATCAGTCACTGGGATATTTCTTCCATTGGGGATGAGGTCGATAATTTTGGTTTTTCCAAACTCGTCAATTTCGGTGCTAAAATTGATCTCCAAATTTAGGTCTTCCAATTTGTACTCTGCAATTTTGATCAGACTGTTGTAAAACTCGGGGTCCACCGATTCTGCATCCGCTGGGAGGATTTTCCTTCCAAGCATGTGCTTATAAAAGGACCTGCAAAAATAGGCATCTATCACTTGCCCATCATAAATAGCCTTTGCGATAAATTTGCCCACAAATTTGAAGAAGTGCAAATGGTCTGGGTTAATGTACGACAGAGGGTTTGGATGGTTAAACTCGCTTTTCTTTCCTTCTCGGCAGAATAAAGCATAATTGGGATTGAATATTTCTTTGGCTAGTATGGAGTACCACTCTCGAGTCAATCCCCCTGCATCTACTCCTTCCTCATTTTTGAAAGTAACGACTAATTTTCCTTTTAAATCGTTCCCAGATTTGTTCCTCAGTTGGTAATACGAATCGGTGAATACCTTTTCTCTCCTTATGTTCAAACGAATTGGTTCCGTTCTCACCCCTGACTTGAGGTGTTTCAGTTTCTTCCTTAAGTAATGCCTCTTGTTTTCGAAATTGATGCAGGACGAGGTCAGCTTTATGAGCGACTTGAAGTTGTGGTGCAGCAGTATCGGGGTCTGCTTTATCAGGCTGTTGATCACTCTCCTGTTTATGTATACAAACTTGATGAGCTTCTTGTGGCGGCTGTTGATGCTTCCTTCGTTGTCCTCCAGCTTAAGCTGTATGTACTCATCGTCATCATCGTTGTCATCGCGATAATCGCTACGATCTCTATCGTCACTGGCGGCATCGCCGAACGTACGCATCATGATCATCTCCTCTTCCGCGTCCTCCCCATTGTACTCGTCCATGTAGTGTCGGAGTTCTCCACCCTGACGTTGCGCCGCTTCCTCTGCGCCGGGTCTGCGATTGGCAAAGTCATACGTTCCACTTCCCGGAGTCTCCACCGCGTTGTCACCATTTTGGGAATTGCTAACTCTGCCCTTTTCGCCCGTGAGGAATTCACCAGACTTGGCTTCCCTCTTCGGCTCTTTCACAACTCCTTCTTTCTTCTCCTCCTCTGCGTCATTTGCAAGGTATCCCATCATTTCTTCCCTTTTGTTTATGACCCCTTTTCTTTGTTGCACCTTCGAATCATCGTCATTAGGCAGCTCGTTAAATTGGACTGTGTTGGAATCCGGCTTTGCTTCTGCCAAATGTGTCATACTGATTTCCTCCTTTTTGAGTTGTTTGTGGTGCTCTTCCTCCTTTTGCAACTCCTCGTCTGACGAAGCACTTAGTTCCTTCTTCCTTTTCATCGTTTTGTTGGAAACGTTGCTATTGACTCGGCTTCCAGTGTTGAACTTTCCCAATTTGAGATCCCCCCCGGTTGAATCTCTCATCGGCCGCTTCTTCTTATGATATATGCTAATGTAAAAGGGGCTATCGTCATATGCCAATTTTTCATTAATTTTTATACTTTCGATGTTTAAGTTGGCGACTTTTTTTTCCAGATCTTTAAATTTTTTCAACTTATATTGGGATACTAGGATGACTTCTTCTATGAAGAGGTAGGCCTCCATCAGTGGTAGGAGGTAGTTTAAAATGGTCGGGGGTGGATCATTCTCAGTTTCTTTCTTTTTCTCTTCCATTGGGTTGCTGTTCACGTTGTTATCTCCGTTTTGGAGGGGCCTTTCCTGTGCAATGCGGCTAGTGTTTTCTGCTGCTTCGGGTGGGAGGGGTGGTCCTTCTTCATTTTGCGGCCTGGCTGGAGTCACCCAATTGGGATTCCCCTGTTCTGACGTTTCGCTCGAGGAGGAATCCAAGTCGAAGAACGATTTGTTTATGTCCCCTGCGAGTGGTGCTTCCCCTTGTTTGTTGTTTGCATTTGTACAGGAGGGGGTGGACTTGTTGGGTAATATTACTCCTTCTTCCGCTCCTGCTGCTACTCCTCCCCCTACTTCGTTGGCCTGTCCATGCGTATTTGGAAGTAGTAGCATAGTCCCATTTTGCTGCTCCGTTTTTCCTTCCTCTGAGGGGAACTGCATATGGCTCCTATTGTGTGTAAATTTGTAATTTTTATCTATGAGCGCATTATTGATTACTTGCATGGCTTTGTTGAATTCTTCCCAGAGCTCGTCGATGTTAATGGAGAGGAAGAAATCGGCACAAATGTCGAACTTGGTTTCTTCGTCTGTGTTTTTTCTTTCTGTGGCATCGTTTATTAGAAGGTTAGTAGGAGGGGCCTTCTCAGCACCTGTGGCCATGTCATGGAGACCAACTTGTTCATTCCCCGCTGCGGCGTCCCCACTTGATATGCCCACGTTTGGAGCAGCAGACGTTGGGCTGTCAGGACTGAAATCGAGTACATTCTTAGAAGGGGGGATGCTAATCTCCTCGACACTGGAATTTCTGCTGGCTTCACTTCTATTAAGCAGATTGTCAATCAAAGAGGGAGCATTAAACAAAATAGTAATGACTCGATAAAATGCAATTAGCTTCTGTTCCAAACTATCCGAGTGATCAACCGCGTAAACATCAAACGTTTCGTTGTGTATGGAGTGAACAATCTTTCTCAAGTCATAGATGATTCTTTTGATTAAAACATGGGTATGATATTTCAATGTTTGAATATTCCATTTCTTTAGCTTGTAATGCGAAAAGAACATGACGATAATTTGCGTTAGTGAGGAAATGTCCTGCTTGTGCACTTGCTCGAGGTTATTGTTAGAAGCTGTATTCGTGTTGTTGTTGTTGTTGTTATTTGTGTTGATCCAGAGAAAATTCGTTTTGTAATTACAGATTAGTTTGCTAAAATTACTTAGGGCATCCATTGATATGACTTCTAGCAGGTAAAATGGCTTCTTCGTAGAATCCTTCCTATCACTATCTGGTTCATTCTTCTGTATATTTCGGATGCTCATTAGTAGCTCTCTGTTAATTTTGGATGAGGATTGGTAGAACTCTTTCAAGTGACAAGTGTGTTTCCTCTGTTTTTTGCCTTTACTCGCTGTGTTCCTCCTATTGCCGTTGTTGCTTCTTCCACTTCGGCTGTCACCCGTGTTGTTTAACACAACCGCGTTGTTGTTGGCTTCGTTGCTGTTCGCGTTGTTTCTGTTCGCGTCTTTGTTACACACCTCTTTGCCGATCGTGTCATCGTTCTTTTTATCCCCTACCTCCTCCTCATTGTTAGCATTTTCGACATCTAGAAGCTCTTCCAAATTTTCGGTGTACACCCACTTAGTGAAGTTGCTATATGTGTGCCACTTGTTCCCGCAGTTAACTAGAAGATTGAAAATGACGGACAGGAGGTGGCTCATGAGTTTTTTGGAGGTTAAATATATGAACGAATTCAGCAGCTTGAATAGGATGTTAATTGGGTACTCATTTTTTGACTTATCCACTTGTTTGCAGTTTTCTATTTTTGTTTTCAGTGTCAGCGCGTGGGGTCCGTTTTTCTGGTCCATTTTGGGTCGCTTCCTCTTCAGTTCGTACTGCAGAATGGCTGCCTCGTCGTCGTTAATCCTGTTGGCACTGCCTTGCAAAGGGGTCGTCACCTGCAGCGCAGCCACGGGTTCTTCCTTTTTTCGCGCCAAAGTTTGCGTCATTTCTGGAGGCACTTGGGAAGATTCCCCCTTTGGAGGATCCTCCACGGAGACATTACTGCTTGGGCTTTTTCTCGACTCGCCATTTCCACCCTTCTTCGGCCCCACAACTTTATGCTCGATGATATCCTTGGGCACGAAAAACGCGGGGTGCACCAGCAGCATGGAGAAGAACGAAGTGATGTGTGGGATGGTAATAAGTAGCGACTGCACTTGTTCTAGTACCCTCTCCGCTGACACATACGCAGTCGTGAAGTAGTTATCCGAAAAAAGTCCATAGTTCTTCTTGTTAACATTGTGGTAAAGCATTCTCGGGGGAAAATTAAGAACCTGCCGCAGAGCTACCACTCGGGGGGCATTATTCTTTCCATGCAAGTCAACAGAAGCTGACCATAAAATGCTCATAAATAATTGCAAAGCACAAATCTTAGTCTTCTGATACGAACACGTTAAATTGCAAAACAGGGTGAACATGATCTTTTTGTTGATTTCTTTTTTTAAAAACAGTAATCTGCAAATGTCAATCAGCGCCTGTGACGATACGGGTTCTTCTAAACAAACATAGAGGGCGTTACTTTTGGAGTTCTCTGAATCTGCTTTGTTCTTCGTTGGAAATAAATTTTTTAAATATTTACTTAACGTTATATCATCTTCCTTCTCTGCACACTTGTCGTCATTGAGAAGATTGAAATTGGGATCCACATTATTCAATCGATTTTCCTGGCTAAGGAACAGCCTCGTTTCGTTCATACTGTTGCTTCTGCTACCACCTGTGTGGTTATTTCCGCTGCGGTGACTTGCATTCAGATGACTGTTTCCACCGTTGTTGCCACTGTTTCCCGCGTTGTTCCCGCCAAGGCCGCTGCTCCCGCCATTGTTATTGCCACTGCTGCCTTCCCCATTGCTGTTCTCACCACCTGGATTCGTCGGAATGAGCGAAAAACTGGCGCTCATGTTTGCGCTGTCAGATAGCGGTAGGTTAGAAATTGCCCCGTTCAATGATCGGCCACCAAGAAAGTGATCCAAGAAACGAGAAACGGTTAGACTGTCATAGTTTTCATGCCCCGTATTAATCATAATTATGGGATTGTTATTTTCGTTGTATGTTATCCTGATAAAGTTATTTCTCTGTGTCCGTGAGGTCAGCGAGTTTCTCAATGAAGCATTCAGACGCCTTCTGTTGTTGGCGTTGGCTCTACTAAGGACATTAAACAGCGTCCTGTTGTTTCGTGCATGTCTGCTATTGCCACTGCTAATTATTGGAACGTTGTTACTGTTATTGTTGTTTCTGCTTCTGTTGTTAGTCCTGTTGTTACTGCTTCTGTTGTTAGTCCTGTTGTTACCGCTTCTGTTGTTATTGCTGTTTTGACTGCTGCTCGGGTTGTTTAGGTTCGACACGGAGTTCCTCAAAAAAGTGTTCGTTATTCGCTCCTGAATGACATTTCTGATTGCGTTTAATCTGGTGGCCGACACATTGGCGTTATCCGTTTGCCCGTTGGCGCTGGATGCGCCGCTGGCGCTGACGTTGTTGTTACTGTGATTGACGCTGTCAGTGATGCCAAATGCATTGGCTTCGTTTGCACCAATTTCGTTCGCATTCATTCCGCTCCCGTTGGGCCCACTTGTGATTCCTCCCCAGCTGCTCGCATTTCCTGCGCTGCTTCCTCTAAAGTTAGCACTCGTATCTGTGTTGCCCCTATCGGTGATGGCGCCACTGACCGCGTTGGTGACGGCGTTCTGCCTGGGTCGATTATTACCATTTAGCAAATTCGATCGACTGTTCAGCACCACAAATCTTAAATTTCTTGCCTCTTGTATCATCTCATCCGTGAGCGTTCTTATGAATCTTAAGCTGGCGGAGGATAGCACGTCCCTCCTCAGCTCCGGCGTCAAGGAATCTATAAACGCAATGTTCGTTTCGTCTTGCGTTTCGTTTCGCTGGCTCCTGTTTCCTATTATTCTCTTCTTGATTTCTGCGCGAACGCTCGACGGCAGCGCTTCAAGGTAGCTCTTCTTTATGCTGTTGTAGATGAGCAGATTTTTTTCGCCTTCGCTTTTCGTGGGGATTTCCGCGTGAGGGGAGGCTCCTCCATGGAGGGAACTTTCCACGTTGGTCGCATTTTCCACATTGGTTGCAGTTCCCCCGCTTGGGCCATCCAACACCGGGAGGCCATTCCCCTCAACGGTGACCTCATCATTATTTGGCACTCCCTGGACGGTTTCTCCGACCGGATCGGTTAATGCACCATTGTCGTTGTGACACGCGACGTTTCCTTCCACATGTGCAGTTGTAATCGCGCTTGCATTGGGATCACTACCGCTGCCATTTGGCTGATCAGTCTGCGCGACGGCAGTTTCGTTATGGATGCTCGGTTGCTGGTCGCCTCTGCAGGTCCTGCAAAACTCCTGAAATTTAAGATACTTCTTGTACAGCTCTATGGAAATTTTTTTATCGTTTTGGACATTCTCCTGAGCAAGTTCGTTTACACTCACGAGGGTGATATTTTTCAAATGCTGTACGATAATTTCGTCGATTAAATTCTCTGGTAGTTCAATGAGAAAGGACCTATCGACGTTTAGGAGTTGGAAGAACTGGCCTTCGTTTATGCCGAGGGCGCAGCAGATTATGAGCAGCGATTCGATTTTCAGCACATTGTCGAATATTTCTTCGTAGTTAATATTTTTGTAGTCTTCCTCGTTGGGGACACTTTGGTCAGTGTTGTCATTCTGCTCGTTTCCTTCGTTCGGGTCAGTTGGGTTGTTCTGATCTGCGCCCATTATATCACTGCTGGGAACATCGGGGCTGCAACTTCCGTCATACAAAACGGCTTCAAACGGTTGGTCGGCCGTTCCAGTTGGTGCAACCTGCACTGGGGCATTTTGACTGGGTGTGGAATCTGCGTCGGGGCAAGCAGCGTTGTTATCAGGTTGTTTATCTTCCCCTTGGGCATGGCTTTCGGCGTGGTTTTCCACCTCCTCTGTTATGTCGTTCCTTTCTTCTTCCGCCTGCAGCTTCTCCTCCTCCTTCGAAGGTACTTCCCCTTTTTGGAGATCACTTTTTTTGGCTTGCTCCTGTTTGCTTGCCTTGCCCTTTTGCGTTTCCTTTTTGCTTTCAAGTTCTTTCTTCTCTTCTACCTTCTTGCGCATGCTTTGAATTAGTTTTTTCTTTTCCTCCAGTAAATTTTCGATGGGTAAATTTATATGAACCTTGGGAATGGCCTTGCATAATCTATTGTACATCATGTTGCAGATGCTGTTTTTTAATTTCTTATCATTATCGAGGACGGTGTCGGTAAGACTAAACTTCTCTTCTTTCGCTACGTCGTTCTTTTCCTTGATAGCGTTCCCGCTTTTGATTTTACTCGCTTGGGTGTTGTTCCTCTCGGTCGGCGCGTCAGGGCCATCCTCGAAGGGGGGGCTTCCACTCACGTTGTTGCCTCCACCCTGGTAATTGCCCACATTCGGGGCGTCGTTGCTGCCCCGCTCGCTGAATACACCGGCCACATGGGCTTCTCTCATCTCTGCGTTCATCACATTTGCACTGTTCAGTTCGTCCAGGGAGCATTCGCTCCTCCTACCCAAGTCATTCAGAGTGGGACTGGAATTCCTCGTGTAGTTAATATTATTATCGCTGATGTTGTAGTTTCTAATAATGTTAAACAAATTTCGAAGGTTGTGATTCGTTTGGTTCATATTTCTGTTGTCGGCGTTATTTGATCTCATACTTGAGCAGTTATTAAACATCGGGGGGGAATAGAAGTTATTAACTCGGTCTAGATTTAGGTGGTAGTAGGTACAACCACTTTCGTGCAACATGTTGCTGTGATCATATGCACTGTTCTCATTTGAGATGCCTCCGCTTATGTTGAAATCTTCGTTGATTGCCATGGGGATGTTAATGCTGTTATTTCTTACACCGTCTGGGATGTGCACCGATGTGGTCAGCATAGTGTTCAAACGTTCGTTTCTTCTTCTATTTAGGGTTAACAAATTGGAGCAGAGATTATCCATTAGGGCAAATATGTTAGTGCTCGCTGGGGTGTAGTTGATAGGCCCGTAATTATCCATACTGTTGCTTAGAAGCGTTCCTTGCTCCCGATCGCTTAACTCCATCGGGGCGGTATCCACGGGGGGCAATCCCATCGGGATTGTTTCGTTTGTAGGAAGGTCGTTTGTGGGAAGGTCGTTTGTGGGAACGTCATTTATGGGGACTCCACTTGGGGGTATGCCATTTAGGGGAATTTCGTTTTGGGGAACTGCACTTATGGGTATCCCATTGGAGGCTAACCCGCTTGGGGGTATATCTATGCCACTCGCACCAGCACCGTCGCTTTGATCAACAGTAGGCCCAGTGGGGAAACCACTAGGAAAACCAGTGGGAAAACCACAGGGTAACCCACTCGACAAATCACTCGCGCTACTCTTCACCGCGGCAGGGTGAATGGTCCCCGTTTCGTTCAGATACAAAATGCTGTTATTTTCTCCCAGCAGGGTGTTCACATCTCTGTTATTGCTGTTGTGAAAATGGTAGTACAAATCTATCAAGTTAATGTCATTTTCGTTTACATTCGCCCTGCTTGTGGTTCCCTCCATGGAAGAACTCTGCATTTTATCAGAGGCACCGGCTGACTCGCTCTTCTTTCCGCTCTCTATTGTAGAAGCATTCGCAACTGTGAGTGAGCCCTTCCTGTTTTGTTCCTGCTTAACAATAGCAGCTGCTGTGCTCCTAGCACCGAATTTATTATTATCTGCTCCTCCTCCATTTTCTACATCATCTTGTTCTTTAATCGAAGCTACGTTGCTCATTTCGCTTTTAACTATGTTCCCGTTTGCAACAACGTTGACGCTTTTATGGGTCACTTGGTTCATGTTCGCTGGGAAAAGTGTTTCCTCCCCCGGGGCACCACTAACTGTAACTGGCAAGCCAGAGTTCAAACGTACGTTAAGTATTGAATTCAGATTATCATTTGGTACACTATTAGAAAGAACATTTTCATCTTCCCCATTATTTATTCCCACATGAATTCCGTTACTCTCCAGTTCATTTTGCAATTCGTTATAAACACCTTTGTTCTGTGTGGACACTTCCGAATTGGAGGTCATCACGTTGGGATAATTCGCTGTATTCTGTGCGTTCGTCATATTAGTACTGATGGGTCCGTTCAGTCCATAGGCACTCTTTTTCACTTGCGATGGGGAATCCACATGGGGAATATTCAAACTGTTTGTTATCCCATCGGGGCTGGTGCCAATTACGTCATCATGGATTGCTTCGCCGTGCCCAATTTTTTTGTCATCGGCCCTGTGAGTTCCATCCGGGTAGCCATTTTTATCTTCACCACTATTAACATTCGGGGAAGAGGTTCCCACGTTGTTGTCACCCCCCATTTGTGCACTGCCCACCATGTTAACATTGGTATTAGCACCTCGGTTATTATTTTCCCCATCGTCCATGTAGTCATCGTTATACTCATCTACGTCGTCATTAATATTATATACGCCATCCTCTTCCATCAGGATATCTAAAATTTCGTGTTGATTTTCATTACATGTCAGAAGGGAATTGTTCACGTTCATTTCTGTGTCGATTAGATCTGCGTTGTTATTCGCTGCTCTGCCGTTATTATCCGTCTGGCTAATTCGGAAGGTGCTGTTATTTCTGTTGATTTCTTCTTCATCCTCATCTTCGTCGATTTCTTCCTCTTCGTCGTCATCCTCGTCATCCTCGTCGTCATCCTCGTCATCATCATCATCGTCGTCTTCATCCTCATCATCTTCGTCATCATCGTCATCCTCGTCATCTTCATCATCCTCATCGTCATTCTCATCATCCTCATCATAGTCCTCCGTTTCGTCAATTTCTCTAATTCTATGGACCCCCTGCCCTTCATCCATATCGTTACTACTGTCTGAACCCAATTCCAGGTTCGAGACGATGTTATTGTTGTTATCCCCCATGTGTGACATGTTCTCTTCATTTTCGTCAACCTCGTGGGGGAGTAACAAATTGTTGGAGTGATCATAAAGATTGTCTTCATTAATGACGTCTCTATCTTGCACGAGGTAGGCGTGTACGTGTAGGCCTCTATTAGTATCATGTTCGTTTCCGTTCCTCTCTCCATCATCCTCTTCTTCTTCCTCCTCCTCGATGTCTATTTCGTCGTATTCTTCTTCCTCTTCCATGGCTTCATCATCGTCGTCGTCGTCGTCGTCCTCCTCCTCCTCCTCCTCATCATCATCATCCTCCAGGTCGTCCTCATCATCCTCCTCTTCATCCTCTTCGACGTCTTCTTCCTCATCATCATCTATATCTTCTTCCTCTTCCTCCACCTCGTCATTGGTGTAGTTCCCTTCCGTTTCGTCCGCCCCATCATTAAGTGAGTTTTCGTTGTTTTCCTCGGTATTCATCTGTGCACTGTTCAACGTGTTGTTATTGCTGCTGTTGTTGTTGCGCAATTCTGCGTTTCTTCTTCTTCTTACTCTTCTTCTTCTTCCCCTGCTCCTCCTCCTTCGTGGTCTATCGTCCACCTCGCCAACGTCCTCCTCTGCTTCGCCCACATCATCTGCATGGTCCGGTTCTACCACCTCATCATCTTGCTCCTCTCCATGCGCTGCTGCATCTGCTTGGTCTGCCCCGTCTTCTTCATCATCATCATCATTCGCCTCGTGATCTACCTCGTCGTTCTCCTCGTCATCTGCATCATCGGGGTCCTCTTCGTCTTCCCCTTCGTCATCTACCTCGTCTTCCTCCTGGTCTTCCTCCTCGTCATCCGCCTCATCCTCTACATTCTCGTCCGCCTCGTCATCTGCATCATCAGCATCCTCCTCCATGTCCTCACCATCAACCATGTCAACGTAATCATCGTCCAGCTCCTCCTCATATTCATATCTAAGGTCATCATCATCGTTACTATCGTCATTGTCAAAAATGAAGTGTTCCTCGTAGGAAACATCGGAGTCAACTGAGTAGGGAATATCGGAGCCAGCCGAATTGTTGTTACTAGAGTCTGATCTGAAGCGCACATAAGATGGATTTAAAAAGGTTACAGATGACATATTTTTTCTTCTCTTATTCCTCTTCATTTTTTTAATTTTTCTGTCCTTCCTTTCATTTAGTTTGTTCAATTTTAGCATGTACAGTTTGTTGTTCTTCGTTTTTATCGGGTAACCCAGAATAGGTGCGGATGTCAGGACGGAGAGGCAGCGAATGATGGACGTGGCTGTGTTGGCGAAGTCTTCCTTCGTGTAGTCCAGCTTGTTCAGCAAGCTGCACAGCGCCATGCGGAAGAGGGCCAGCTGCTCCCTGCTATATGTGAACACTTTATTGCTATCCTCCTTCTTCTCGGCCTTCTCCTCATCGTCGCGGCCGTCGCCGTTGGGGTTGCCTCCGTTGTGATTGCCTCCGTTTTGATTGCCTCCGTTGGGGTTGCCTCCGTTGGGGTTGCCTCCGTTGGGGTTGCCTCCGTTGGGGTTGCCTCCGTTGTGATTGCCTCCGTTTTGATTGCCTCCGTTGGGGTTGCCTCCGTTGGGGTTGCCTCCGTTGGGGTTGCCTCCGTTGGGGTTGCCTCCGTTGGGGTTGCCGCCGTTGTGATTGCCGCCGTTGTGATTGCCGCCGTTGTGATTGCCTCCGTTGTGATTGCCGCCGTTGTTATTATCACCATTGTTATTACCACCGTTGTGATTGCCTCCGTTGTGATTGCCGCCGTTGTTATTATCACCATTGTTATTACCACCGTTGTGATTGCCTCCGTTGTTATCATCACCAGTGTTATTACCACCGCTTGGATTACCACCTCTGTCGTTTCCTCCGTGGTGATTTCCCTCATTTCCACTTCCCCCGTTCACGCCGCTCCCGCCCCGACTGTCGTCACCCTCATCGCTGTCGTTGCGGTTGGGACCGCCTCCATTGTTCCTGGCGTCGTGCTCCTCATCGCCCTTCTGTGCAAACTCCAACACCTTGGAAATATACTTGCCACTGCCGAGCAGGTGCTTCTCCTCCAGGAGGTGGCTGTTCTCTATCTTGATATTTTGTTCCTCGTTGACCAGCTTGTACAGCAGAGCACTTACAGCGTAGGAGAATACATCGATGAGCGTGCCGAACACGTTGTTGTGCCAATTGGTTGATGCTTTCCCAGAGGTGTATTGTTCCTTCCGTTTCTGAAAAATGCTGTACACCTTCAGGAGGTGCATAATCTCTTGCACCACTTTCTTATGTATATCGTAGCTGGAGGAGTGAATATCAAAAATGAGCTGAACAAAATTGACAATATGTTTAACATAATTCACATTTTTAAATTCGTTGCTGTTTAAGAGAGACTGATAATGGTAATCCGTGGACTTCGATTTTTCCTCCAATTTTTTGGGCGAGTATGTGGTGTGGATGCTCGGGTGGCTGAGGCATATAAATTGGGGTAATATCCGTTTAAACAAAAATATCAGCAGGGGTGTAAACACGAGGTTTCTGGGGAGGTTCCCGCTGAGAAGATGGCCTGCAAGCAGCTTCTCCCTTTCGATGTACTTCTCGCTCTCCCTCTCTGTCACCTTGTCCTTTCCTCTGTCCTTCCCCTTCTCCTTGCTGCCGTTGCGCCCCGCCTGGGATGCCCCCCTTTCCAGCAGAAGAGGGAACAAGCAGCTCCTAAACGTGAGCTTGGATAAATCGAAGAGGACATAGTACTGCATATAATTTTGTAAATAAAACTCAGACATTTCTCGATAAGTATAGGCATTATTGGAGGAAAAATCCGGTTTGGCCATTTTGTGCATCACAGTTTCGCTTTGCACTACTACTTGGTTATCGCCGCAGGAGGTGGTTGCGGCCTCTTCCTGGGTCCCCTTTATGAGGGAGTTCAAATCGTCGCCACCGTGACTGTTGTGGTTGCCATTTGGAGGGAAAATTGCCCCACAGATGGTAGAAAAAACATCCGTGCTAGTTTTACTTCGAATAGAAGAGCCTTGATTCATTCCAGATGCCACTAACACAGTGCTACACAGTTTTGCTTCTCTGCCCGATGTAGTGTTAACCTGGAAAGAATGAATACCAACCGACGCGGCATTGTATTGCACAGCGTCCCCCTTACAACGGGGAACAAGCTCATCATAATCATTCAGAAAAAAGGTCTTCATAATTTTGGAGTTAAAAGAATTGGGGATCTTTACCAAATAGACAATCAAATGTTTGAATGTTTTAAAAATTAAGTTGACAATAAAGAGCATATTATCTGCCGTCAGTGCGAAGGGGTACATGACCTTGTAATCCAGTTCGGTGTCAAAGTCGGCATGCGTTCCATATATCTCCATTAGCTTCTTATTAAACTGTAGCCTTTCCTCTTTTTCGCTAAGCTTTACTAACCGCGTTTTGCTTTGTATGATAGTGAACAGGTTTAGGAAATCCAGCAGAATCGCCAGAATGTAGAAATTGTAAAAATTGTTCTTCAGAAAATACTTCCTCAGATACTTGGTGCTGTTGGCCGTTTCGGAGAGCATGTAAATCGATTTGATGTGCTCCGGTATGGGCAGCAGATTCAGGTAGAACTTGTCTGCGCCGATTCCGTCGCTATTGGGAGCCTCCGCTTGCTGCGCACTGCTCTCTTTTAGCCACTTGCTCTTCTTCCTTCTCAACTGGGTTGCGCCATCGTGTAGGTCTTTTCCGGTGGCGCCACTTAGCGCGTCGTTGCTCGTGGTACTTTGGAAAGAACTTCGCCCTTCTTGGTCGTGGTCCTTCCCGTAGTCCTTCCCGCCATTCTTCCCCTTTTTTGCCCTATCGGTTTTCGTCCCTTTTGCAATTTCCGCCCCATTAAACGCAACTCTGTGGAGATTTCCCCCGTTCCTTTTCTCCTTGGTTTGTTCGCTCGTCAACCCTCCTACGCTGTGCGCACCAACCGCCTTGCCAAAACCATTGAGGGAAAGCAAATCAGCCGCGTCCCTAACCTGATGCTGTACATCACTCGCTTCATCCTTTTTCACATATTTCAGGTTCGGAAAGAAACACAAACAACTCAGAATTTCTTCATACATTTGGGGGTTCTTAAAGATGAATGGATATAATGCCTCATTCAATTCATTCAGCGATACACCTAATGCATTGGAAAATTTGGCATCCTCTATGAACTTCAAGTCATCCTTTCTCATAAAGCACTTGACTGGGATCCCGTGGTGGAGGAAGTATGACTTGAGACTATATTCAATTCGGTTGGCGATGACATAATTGTCGGTGAAGCACTGGATGAGGATGTTTATCAGGATGATCAGCATGTCCTTAAATTTTGCTTGTTTCGAAATGGTTAGGAGAATTCCGAGTCCGCTTCTGCTGATGTTATTTAGGATTAACTCGTTCAGGTCAAAATGGGGGTCGCATTTCTGCTCGAAGGGGCCGACATAGTCGTGCTGCTCACTGCTTGTAACATTGGGGGGACAACACATTCCGCTACTACTTCTATCTCTAAGGGGGAGTTCCATAACGCTTCCGCCATTGATGATGGTCTCTCTTTTGTGTAGGTCCCCTCGAGAAAGATCATCTGCTCTGCTGGGAAATAATTCCACGTTAGGATTCTCCCCTGTTGTGTTGGGCCTTCCGTTCGCGCTGCCTCTATCATGAATCAGGTTGTTGCCTCCTTCTCGGATCCTTTCCATCTTCCTTTCCTCCAGTTGGAACACCATCCTAAAGTTCCTATACACATTTGGCGGCGCATACGAAATGAAGAAAATGACGTTGCTGTACGTGGTAGTCAAATATTCAATTATCTGTAAAATACTCATACACAGTTGTGCGTTGTAGCCCTTGAAAAAATACAACGTGTCGATGCATATCTTTATGATGTTGTGTTGTTTTTCCGATGACATAAATCGAATGTTTTCTGTAATCGTCTGTACCGGTTGAGCGATTTGCGCAGTTGCTGTGTTGATGTTTGCTGCCACATGGTTGCTGAGATTTTTCTTCTCACTCTGCGAGGTTCCCTTCTCCATTTTGTTCGTCGGTACATTTTTGACCAAACTGGTGCCGTACTTATCGTCATTCGTTTTTTCCTCCTTATGTTTCTTGATTACCTTTTTACTACTCTTGTCGTTAAAATTGTACAAAGAGTAGTTAATGATAATTTTGTACAGACACATGAACAAGGGGGCGTAGAAGCACGGCGGCTTGGAGTACAGCGGGATGTATTTGTTTTCCTCACTTTCTTGTAGGGAATAATTGATGGCCGTTTTTTGGTTAACCTCGGAAATATCTGTGTCGGCTAAGTTCCAGTACGGAATCAGCATGCTATACGTTTTGATGTTTTTATTTATGACCAATCCTTTGTTGTACATGTGGTTTATTATTTTCTGTTCCTTCTGGTTAAGCTCAGTCTCGTTCGTCTGGCTCTTCTGCATTTGAAAGTTATTATTCCCTGTCGTTTGGCCCTGCGCTGATAGGAGCAGTGCCTTGTTGTTAACTTGCTCCACTTGGGATGTTCCACTCATGTTGGCAAAGTCAGCAGCACCACACGCTGGATGCATGTAATGACTATCCCTCGCGTCGCAAAGGTGAGGAGCATACTTTTTATGGCTCCCATTTTGTGCATAGTCATTGGCATCCTCCCTGGGGGGGTCGTCAAAACTGTTGCCATGTGCACTTGAAAGGGAGGGGTGGAGGAGCCCAGTCAAAATGACCCCTTGATCACACGGGTCGACATTGGTTACCCCGTTCAGCTGATCATTCGTGTTGGGGGCAGTCCTACTTGCTGCCACAATTTTGTTAAATTTCCTCTTCCTTTTATTCTTTTCTTGATTTCTCTTCCCCGCATCGTTCTCATTCGTCACGGCTGCGTAATCCCCACTGGGGAAGAAGCTCCCCCCCCCATGGGCATTTGAAAACATCGGTTCATCAATCGAGGCGGAAATTGCTAAACACGATTGGGATTTGCTCTCCGTTAGGAAGTAGTTAACATTCGCTTCCAGGTTCTTCACGTACGCCAGGTTAAATTTGTGTAAAAAGAAAATGCAGTAGTCCAGGATGTTCCTATCTATGTGCAAAATCAAATTTCTCGCTATCGTATACTTATCGATAATGTTGCAAAGGGTGAAAAAAAGCATGTACAGACAAAAGTGGTAGGAGTATATTTCCATGTCTCTTTGCGACTCATATATAACATCTATGTCTCCTTTAATATACTTGGTTCTGTAGATACAACTTTTGGGATCATTCGAATATTCCGCGAGCTCAGCCTCTTGGTTAGTATTCTCCTTACTGCTCTTTTTGTTGTTATTTATGACTGAATTTTTTTCCTCCACTGCGTTGCTGCCTGGGTATAATGGCGTAGTCATGTTGTCATCGCTGTGGTTGCTAATGTCGTAGTTATTGTTCAGTTGGTACTCTTCCAAGAATTCATTCATTGGGTTTGCTCCTCTACTGCGATTGTTCGCACTGCTCATCGCGTTGTTGGTTCTACTGTTAGGTAGCGTGGTGGTCATCAACATGTTTCGCATGGTGTTCAGTGCGTTTCCCCCGGAGGGACCACCATTCGTCGGGATGTTATGCGGGATGTTATGCGCGACGTTTGGTGTCATTCCGGCAGTGCTGCTTCCTGCCTGGCGTGCTTCGTTTCCCGCTTGGCGGGCATCATGGCCGCGGTCACTACCCATGGTGACGGCATCCCCCATTCCAGCCACAGCTCCGCTGATCGTACTATTGCTGATAACGTTGCCAACATCGGTGGTGTTTCCCGCATTTGCCTCCGCGTTGGGATCTCCAAAGGGGTGTCCCGTTGCGTCCGCGCTTTGAGGCAAAATGGGGATCACTCCACCGCCGTCGTTTGGGAGGCCATTTCTGTTCTGCACGAATTTGTTTTTATTCCCATTTTTGTTGTCCTTTTTGTCCGTTTTTATCCCCCCTTCATCGCCATTCTTCACGTTTTTATTCTTCCTCTTATTGAAGTACATGAACTGGTGGTGGCAATGGTAGAAGGGTTCTATGGGGAAGGCATCATCATTCTTCAGGGTTTTAATTTTCTTCGAAATATTCTCAAGAAAGTAATACAGAATGATAATCTTCACATCTTGATGGTTGAATATACGACTCTTGTTGGTGTTTTTGTCGTGAATGGTTTTTCTATACTGGTCCAGGAACAGTTTGACACTCTTCTTGTCAATGTCGATGAGGAGGAAGCTGAGGAAAAGATTGGTGTAACCCCCTTCATTAAACGGGATGGTTATCATGATATTTATGAGCATATTGAAAATGTACTTATAAATGAGTTGCCTAAGGAGCAGATATTTTTCTTCATCCCAAAATTGCTTGATATCATTTTTCTCTTCATATGTACGCAAGAGACTTCTCTTTAGTAACTTTAAGTAGTACTGCAGGTATAATATCATATTTTTCTTGCTGTTTGGATCCATAATCGTTTGGTAGTAGTATACCCTTGCATGTGTTGACTTTGCCTTTGCTTCTTTCAAAATTTCGAACATGAAGGGGAATTTCTCCAACAGGTACTTGTCATCTTTGTAGAAGATATTCTCCTTTTCTTTTCCATTTTTGGGGGCATCACTCAGGAGGGGCGGCGGTGGGGTAGTGTTTACATCCACGTGATGGCCACCCCCAGTAGCGTTGCTCCCATCGATGGGGTAGTTCCTCTCTGCAGCAACCTGCACCGCGTCAGTGATTTCCTCCTCGCTGGCATTCTCGTTTGCCCCCAATCGGATGTCGACCCTTCTGTCAGCCGATATCGAATTTTCATCACTGCTGTTGTAGCCAAAGTCATAGTAGGGGGGTCTCCTACCCACGTTGTTCTTTCTCTCTGCAAGAAGTTTCTCCTTTTCTATGCTGAGGAAGAATTCGTTCTGCTTGGTCTTATCCAAATAATTCAACGTACAATCAAGGTCCGTGGTACCGGAATAATTAAGGCAGTTATAAATCGTTTTTTCGTCAAAGCCCATTAGACCCCATCCCTCCAAAATGTTCACATGGGGGTAGTTAAAGGCGTCCTTATCTTTTTCCTTGTCCTTATCCTTCTCCTTGCCACCCATGTTTTTTTTATCTTTGCATTTTTCCTTCGCCCAGAAATCGAGCATTTTGGGTTCCACTTCAATCGAGTGATGAATAAATTTTAAAATGATCCTCAACAGAGTGTATATTATATTGTTGTTAAAATTTATGTATATGTTATTCTTCCCCAGGTTGCTAATTTTAGCACTTGTACTGTTAATGTAGGTCAGCCACATGAATATGTTTTCGGCTATGTCGCACTTCACTGATCTTATCGTGTTGACAATGTCGAAATAGTCCAGAGAGAATATGAAGTTGTCGTTGTACTTGAATGTGTGTTCTGATTTGTATTTTGCATTTTGCGGGGAGATGGTAGAATCTTCTTCCTTGGTGTCTCTTCCGTCAGGTGGAAGGAAGTCAGCACTTTTTTTACTCTCCTTCCAAGCATTGGCTTGGTTGTTACTCTGGCTAAGCTGCGCAGTGTCATGTTTTTTTTTTCCCTTGACTTCACTCGAACTGGGGAATGCGCCCACGTGGGAATTCTCCAACACGGCCACTTCCACACTGTTCTGACGTAACTCGTTTGGTCCTTCGAGCTGGGGCGTTAATAAATTGGCCTCTCCACCTGCGCCGTTACTGTGACTTTGCGCGCTCCCGGTAGTGAGGAACGGATTGCTCGCTTTGTTCTCTCCATTCGGAGGGGCTACATCACCACTGTGTGGTTCAGCGGCTGTTTGGTTCGCATCTGTTTGGTTGGCGGCTGTTTGGTTCGAAGCTGTTTGGTTGGCGGCTGTTTGGTTCGAAGCTGTTTGGTTGGCGGCTGTTTGGTTCGCATCTGTTTGGTTGGCGGCTGTTTGGTCCACTACTGTCCGCTCCGCTGCGGGCCCCCCTCCCTCTTTGTACGCCGCTTTCATCTCCGGGGAGAGATTCTCAAAGTCGTGCAAGCGCGTGAGGGGGTGCAACATCTTGGAGCAGAAGAGCATCAAATTAAACTTGCCAATGTTGATCAGGTTCACGAAGAAGTCCAGAAAGGCGCTTATCCCTTTAACGACAATTTGGAGGTAAATCTTTAGCATACTCATATCAGCACCAGAATAGTGCTCCATGATCCTCACTACGTAGCGAACGAAGTAAGTGTTTGTGCAGGTAAAATTCTTGCTGATGTGAATTGGAATATAAGTAACAAAATTGGTCTTCACGTTTTGTTTGTTCTTCTTCACTTCCTTCACCTCCTTCATCTCCTTCTTCTTTTTGTAGTATAATGCGAGTAGAGATATATACACGCTCATCACATAATTAAACATGTTGAAAATGAAGTCAAACGTTCCCACTTTGTATAGCAAGTCAAGGAAATAGAAGTAGCTAATAAATTCCAGCTTGTTATCCGACAGTAGTTTGTGCAGGATGTTGATGATCTCTGCGATGTACTTCACTGTTTGCATCGGGCTGTAATGTTCTATGCTGATTTTCACTGGGGAGAGTTTCTTTTCCTTGGGAATATCCTTCACTCTTCTCCTCTCGCGTGAGGAGGCGTTACTGGTACGTAGGTTGTTCTGCACATTCGTTTGGTGGCTCCTTTCGCGACTCGTTTGGTAACTCGTTTGGTGGCTCCTTTCGTCACTGGTCTGGTGACCCGTTTGGTGACCCGTTTCGCGATTCGTCTGGCTTGCTCCTCTCGGCTCCTTCGCGCTGTCCTCTGCGAATTTCACAAAATTGAAGCTACCGTTGTGGCGAACCACGCGATAGGTCCCGTCCGCCTCCCGAACGCTGGTGCAAATGTACGACTTGTTATACTTGCTCAAATCGTAACTGGGGAAGTTTCCCTGGGGGGTTCTCCTGTTGTGCGATTCCTCCTTTTCGGGGTGGCTTCGGCAGGGGGGCGGGGCCACATTTCCACCCTGCACAGTGGAAGATACATCTGGAAACGCATCTCGAGTTGCACTCGCACTTTTACTTCCACTTCCCTTTTCCGCTGGCCCAGCCTGATCATTATGGTGAAGGTTCTTATTCGGTACCACGTCGATCAGGGAAAAGTTAAAGTTGTATCGTTTGCACATAATTTCCCCCATGTAAAACGGCTCGGGATAGTAATTTTCTATTTTCTGTACATGGTGGCTGGTGAACGAGGTATACGCATAGTCATACAGGTTAATCTTCTTCTCCTGTGAGTCCCTTTTTTGCGCTGCACAATTGGCGCTACTACAGGGGGGTAAGTGCTCCTTGGAGGGAATTCCTTCCGCGATGCTTTCACATGAAAGATTGTCCATCCTCGTTCCAACCTTGGGCCATTTCTTCGCTCCGTTCTTGTAGGCACTTCGCGCGACTGAGTCCCGGTTGACGCTACCACCGCCGCAGTTGCAGCAGTAGAAACTGTTCGCACCGCCATTCATCGTCACGAATGAGGCTGTTGCTGCTGATGGTGCTGATACTGCTGATGCCGCTAATGCTGCTAATCCTCCTGACAGTGGCTTCTTCTCCTCACTGGGCTCGCTCAAATAGGTGATCTTCTCCGCCGTTATGTGGTCAGACAGAACGCTGTACACGCTCCTCGCTGCTCCCCCCGCGAGGTAGGGATTCTCCTGAATGGGCTTGCTGACCACCGGCACATTCATCATGCACTTAGTTAAACATCGAATGATGCACAGAATGTGTTTCTGCTGGATTACATTGTAAAAGATATAGTTGGGGGTGGGCTTCAATTTTAACTGCCTCGTATGGCATGCTAGATTAATCATGATGAAAAACTTCTTAATTACCACTAGCAGCGATCTGAGGCTTTCGCACAGGACGTATTTCGAATCATACGCGAGGCGTGTGTGCATGTGGATGTTCTTGTCCTCTATGTAGTAGTCGTTGTATTGGCTCTTAGGGGAGTCACTGTCGTTGTCCCCAATGCTGAGGTCGTTCTTTACTCCTTTCTGTTGGTTTTTCTCGGCATAGTGATATTCCATAGAACGGTCGGTGCGATATGCGGCGTACATGTTTGCAATACTCTGCGCGTTGAAGAGGCTCTTTTGGACACCTGGGGAATCAGTCTCAAGGGGGTTACCGCTCGAGAGACGAGTCTCCTTCCCTGTGTTGCAATGAGTCGTTGGATTATTACAAAGAAGGTGGGTTATCACCCCCGCGTCGCTACCATCTGGACTGTGTTCCAAGTTCGAATCGCTTTTCTTCCTATCGGTTTGAACCCCGACAATGGTGTCCTCCGAACTGGAAAAGTATTTTTGAAATTTCGACTTCTCTTTATTTTTAAAAGCTACAATGTCTGATGGCATTTTCATACTTTTGTGCACGAAGGTGTTAAATTCAATGAGGACCTGCGAAAAGGTATATCTGTAAATGGCCTTATACACCCTGTCTTCATTATCTAATCCAGTGAGGTGATCCGTCATTTTGTAATCATCTACATTATCGTGGTCACAAATGATATATGTTTTCTCCTGATCTTTGTTCAATACATACAGGTTGTTATTAATCGAATAACAGAAGAGGGAGCGACTTGATCCGAACAAATTGTACAGGAGATAATCTGATTTATTTTGGCTGTTTCGAAGGGTTCTCTTGATGTGTTCATGGATGCACACCTTATCCTTCAGGTGCAGAAACATGTTCTGGTTTGAGTCATTCGTCTGGTAAAAATATAGAGTAAAGTAAAAATCGAACACACTCTCTATCGTTACGAGGACGTCTGAAAATATTTCCAAAATTTTCCGATTTGACAATTCGGACAGGTCGTATAGCTTCTCCTCGTTGCTGTAGAGTCCCTTCGCATCCGTGTAGGCCGAGATGAGGAAGTACAAAATGTTGAAGAGCTGTGTGATGTTGCAGAGGAGCAGCTGGTTACGGTCAATGAAAGGCCCAGCGAAGAAGTCGTTCCTCAGGTACTTGCTTCCGTGTTGGAGGGGTTTCGCGGCCGCTCCAACCGATCCAAACACATTGCTCGTTCCACTCGTTTGTCCCATTTCCCCCACGCGAAGAGCGGACCGCTTCACCACCACGATGTTTTCCCCCAGGTCGAAGTAGAAAGAACCGGACAGCAGTAAACTCACGTACTGAACATACGAAACGAAGTTGCTGTAGTTGTACAGGGGATAAAGGAACTCATTGTACACATTCTTGAAGGAGGCATACAAATATATCTTCATCACAAAGGTGTAAATCGAGTGATACTCGAAAATGTGAATGTAGTTGGGAGGTAGGCTTATCAGATTCGTGCAGGCCATTAAGAACTTGAGACCGTTTAACTTTAAAAAGGATTTAATCCAGGAGGTCTTCATATAGGATAGGATACATCGACACAGGATGGATAATCGGTCCAAGAAGAAATTGTCCCTTCTGGGTTTGTACCGATCTATGTTTAGATCCTTCAGTTGCACGTGGTGCAACTGCTTTACTGACCCCTCTACATACTTCTGTACGTAATCATAATCCAAACATCGCCAATACCCTAAGTTTAACCCCTCTAGATATAACTTCTTCAATAACTTGACGTGAAAGGAAAGGAAGTCTCTCATGACGAAGCCGTAGTTCTCCAGCTCATTGATGATGTTTCCTATCGAAACAGCTATGTCTCCAAATCGGTCGAAAAAAAAATAATCTATTTTGATCACATAGTGGAAAAGGTTATATATGGGAGAGTAATTCAACTTCCTCATGGCTGACTTTCCAATGCTGTGAATAAACATTAGGGAGAGGAGCGACGGGACATATATCAACACCGTTTCGTCTTTCAAGTTATCCTCTGCTATGCTGTTTAGTAAGATGTTCAGGAGGCCCTCCTTCAACAGAGTAGACAAAATCGTGGGGTCTTCATATATGTGTTCATATATGAAGCCTAGTATGTAGCCGTACAGGCAGAGGCCAAACTTGTGTGGATACTTCAAAATGTACTTAATAATTTTCACAGAGATGTAATTATTTGTAAATATGTCCAGCAGTGTGTCCGTTGGGGAGTAGCCCTTCAACGCGAGGTTCAGCGCCTTTATAATCATCTTTATGATCTTCACCCGCTCTTCATATATGTGGCGCTTCCACCAGAAGGTGAACCTGTTCAGCAGGGTCTCTTCCGTGGCGCTCTCGTTTATGTCGTACGTCTGGAGCAGCTTCACCAGCTTCGCATTGCGCCGGGAGAAGAGGCTGTTCTGGAGGGAGGCAGAACAAGCAGCGAAAGGAGCGGAAGGAGCGGCGGGATGGGAGGAAGCAACAACAGAGTTGGCGCTGATTATTTCTGCGTTCACCTTTCCGTCCGGCTCTTCCGGCTTTCCCACTTCTTCCGCCTCTTCCACATCTGTCGCCGCTCCGCCCGAGTAGCGGCGGGCCTCCTCCTCGCTCTCCACAAAGGTGCGATCGTACCCGCGGTAGTCGAACGGCTCGAAATAAAACCTCAGAAAGTGCTCCCGATTCAGGTGGTAAAAACTGTCGGACATCATAAATATTTCGTATTGAAAACGAGACAGTAATATTTTGTACAGCTCCTCCTCGTTCTTCGCGGTGAAATAAAAGTTGGGCGTAAAGTCCAACAGGGTCTCCATAATTCTGAGTAACAATTGAACAATGGGTAAGTTGCTTGTGTAGCTGTCTTGCAGATATAGGGGGAAAAATTTTAGCGTATTCTGCTGAGCTATGGTGAGAATTGGGCACGGTTCCATAATGCACGTATGGTAGAGGGTCAATAACTGTAGCATCATGCATACCTCCTTTTTCTTCTTTTTAAAATCCTTAAACATTTTTTTGGGAATTTTTATGAATTCACTTTCGGCATTTTTCTTGCAATTTTTTATATTGCTCACTATTACGTCTTCACTTATGTAATTTTCGTACTGCGTCTCTTCCTTGAGTCGGTTTCGATCCCTCGGTTGGTTGCTTAGCCTGTTATCCGTGGTGGCACCACCCATCAGGTCAACTTCGTCCGCGTTGTTCATGAAATCGAACAGATTCAAGTTCCTCACGCTGGGTGGATCTCTAACGTGGGTGGAATTCACTTCATTATTCGTAGCGCCTTCGTTGCTCAAATAGTCAAAGATGTTCAGATTTTGTACCGCATTTATGGTCCCACTCATGGGGGGATTGTTCACAAAGGGGGACATGGTCCCGATCACTCCTGCTGGGTCACTATAGTCAATCCTTCCGAGGTTATCCTCTCCTCGGAACGCATCCGCATTGAATATCGAATTGTCGTTCGTGGTGCTTAACTGGTTGGAGGTTTGCGCAGCGGGTAGACAAATTGCTCCCCCTGTATGGGTGGCGTCGTGATGATCACTTGCAAAATGGGTCGCTGCCTCCTCATGTGAGGGAGCACCACTCCCTTCGGGGTGACTGTGCTGTTGCCTGGGTGGCCGCTCCACACCTTCGTTCGGCAGGAGCTCACTCAGGGAGCTGTAAATACTGGCCTCCGCGATAACGTTACCGCTACTGTTACCGTTAGCGGGAGTGGGCACCGTCCCGCCCTGCAGCGGGGGGGAAGACATGCTTATCGCCTTCTCCTCCTGAATTTTTTTAACGTATAAAGTGTTGATATCATTGGTGCTGTACATTTCCACTGGGCTCTCGTTCATAATGTGCAGAGGGCAGATATCCTTCTGCACTGTGTAAGTGGACAGAAAATAATTCAAGTAGTACTTAAAAATGCTAATAAATAAACCACTGTGTAATCGTAGACCCAAAATGTCCGACACAACTTTGTAGTGAAGATGGGATTCTATCGCCGTCGTCAGCAAGTCAAAGATTATGTGCAGCGTGTTAAAATGAATAAACTTGTGATATTTTAGTAGGTACAATATTTCCTGTAAAAATATCGTGCTGCTTGGAATGATCTGGGGATACAAGATGGAGTTAATAGACAAAGAACCTGATATGATTAAGTACCTCAAATTGAATAATTTTTTTCTGTACTTGGGACATATTAATCCCATGTAGATTCTTAACTTGTGTCTTAGGTCGAAAGTTTTCTTTTCGTCCATTTGGTACTTATTGACGATGGCGTCGTATGCCTTTTGTAGGGCTTCCTTCGCCTGATTATACTTTACCTCCTTCGGGAGGACTGACGTGAAGGGGATCTCGTGATCTTCGACGTTAATTGTGACATTATCCAGGTTTAGGTGATAATCGATTAGGTCTAGGAGATACTTATTATCAATTTTGCTGTACACGTTCTGCATGTAACGCTTATCTGTTGAGTCGTGCAGATAGTACAGCACTAGGCCAGAAATGTAGTTGTTGTCGTTTATCCGTCCTATGTCGTTGTCTATATATGGGTGTAAAAAACTCGGCACAGGGATGTTAATTAGTGATGAGAGGATATTTACAATTAGACTTATCTTGCTTTCATTTTTCTTCGTCTTCTTTATAAACAGGTAGTATATGTTTAAGATTTGGGCCGACAGGATCGATATCTTCGGGTTGAAGCTCCAGAGCAGCACGAGCAAATGGTCCAGCGAGTTGTACTTGGATTTGCTTAGGCAGTTCTCCAGGATGAGGAACGTGAACCTGAGCATTTGCTCGACTAGCAGATCGGACGGGATGAACGACTCTCTGGGGGGTTCGCTCAGCTGTTCATGGTTTGCTGCGTTCAGCGGTTCATGGTTTTTTTCGCTCGTCCTCTCACTGTCATTTTTGCCGCCCTTCTCGCTACTTTTTTCCACCTGCATGGGCGCACTCCCCGGCTGCGCATCACCATCCGCTCCGACCTCCACGCCTCCACCACCTCTTCCGATGCTGGTCTCCTCCCCACTCAACTTATTATGCAGGATGTAGCTATGCAGGAGGTCGTCGAACCGATTCAACACAGGCGCCCAAGCTATCAAATCGGACTTCAGCCACACCCAGTCCACAAAGGGAAAGAGGTGGTCAATCAGATTCTTCTCATCACATGTTGACAGAACGTGGATGAAAAATTTCTCCTCCTCACTGATCTTATCTAGCATGAGTATATAATTGTCATCCTTCGGTATCTGGATCTTCATTTTGTATTCATAATTGGCAGTATTTTTACGTTTCCTTTTTTTTTTTTGAAGGGGCCTACATACACTGCGACATCACCGTCTCCAGGTGTTGGAACAGGGCTGCTAGCAGCGTACCTTTAACTTGTGAAATTGTCGTTGCCTCCAAATGGGCTTCCACGTATGCACTCTTCCGCACGTGGGGGAAACTTCACATGGGGAAGACACACACGTAACGATAGGCGTATTTCTGCTGGTAAGTACATACAAACTTCCGTACACACACAAAAGGAGGACTTTTCTCTCCCTGGGAGGGGAAAGAAAAAAAATAACTTCACGCAAAAAAAAAAAAAAAAAAACAATGAAGGAATGAAAGGAGGGAAAACAAAACACACAGAATATGAAAAAACACAGAAAAACGAAACACACAGAATAACGAAACACAAAGAATAAGGAAATACATTAATAAGGTGAACACACAAGGCGTACCATGAGGTAGACTGTTCGTTAATTACATCAAACGCATATGCTACACATGAAAAGAAGTATGCACTTACGAAATGCTCGCGCGAAGTGCACGGGAAAGACGTTCATGCTACTTATGGGTTTGTTAGTACGGGACACAAAAAGAGTTCACTTTCTGACGCGATTAGGACGTGTACAAATATGCGCATATACGCGTGAACACAAGGGTGAAGGAAGAACAAAATAAAAAGACGCACGAGGGGTACAAATGCGCGTGTATGTTACACATATATTCCTGCGTAGGCTTGTGTACACAGGGGGCGCTCTTAAAAGGGGGATTACAACGAATTGCGGGTCATATAAATTGTCTGCGCCCCTTTTTTTTTTTTTTTTTTTTTTGGGCGCAAAAACAGTCACACGAGTGTAAGCAGCGGATTGCAGGTAGGCGCCAAACTCACGCGCAAATATGTGGTGCATGCGGACAAGGGTACACACCTATACACAGGTATGCATGTGCACGTGAACACACTACGGAGGACGCGAAGTGGGCTAAAACTACAACTGCTTTCGCGCACGGGCGTAGGTATGCATCTCTACATAAACAACAACACGTCAATTTATACACGCGGCTGAAACGTCGTACGCAGCGATGTGAGCTAATTAATCCATGGGGAAAGGGGGAAAAGCGTAAAGGAAGGAATAAATGAAATAAAGAAATGACGAAATGGCAAGAACTCCCCTCTCACGAAAGATGGGCTTGCACAAGTACACAAACACGAAAAACGTATCATATAGATCGCCGACACACTTGCCTTTGATTTGGCAGGCCGCCTCACTGCGCTCATCCCCACGTACGTATAAAGAAGCACGTACAATTCATACGTGGGGATGTGCTAACTGGTGGTGGTGGGGTCTACACAATAAGAAGGCAAAACGAGGAATACATATATACATGCATAAGGCAGTGATGCAGTGGGATTAAAAAAAAAAAAAAAAAAGAACGTTCAAGGGTGGCACAAGTGCGCCCGCGTACAGGTATGGGCATACGCAGATGTATCGGTAGGCACATTCGGGCATATGCTTCTATATACATGCATATGAAGGCACATATACATAATGTACGCGTAGGCGCGCTGGGAACGCTGCTACATGTTTTATGATTCTGTTAAGCTGCTTAACCGCAAGCTTGGACGGAGAACAAGCAGGCAAAAAAAATGGGGAACACGAATGTGAAGGGGATGTAACGGTGGATGCAACTTCGAAGGCGAATGCTTCGTTATGTTGACTGTTTCTTCCCCTCGACTGGCCAAGAGTATGGCGAAGCACAAAAACGAGAGGTAGGTACGCAAAATGAAACACAAAGTGGTGAAAAATGTAACGCTAAAAGGCTTTACAGGTTTTAACTTAAACGCAACAAGGGACGTTCGATTGTTCACGTTTTTGTCACGTGAAAGTTGGTCACTTGGTGTTCCTTGACTTGATGTTTTTGTGACTTAGTGTTTTTGTCACTTGATGTTTTTGTCACTTGGTGTTTTTGTCACTTGACGGTTTGCGACTTGGAGTTTTTGTCACTTGGTGTTTTTGTCACTTGGTGTTTTTGTCACTTGGAGTTTTTGTCACTTGGAGTTTTTGTCACTTGGTGTTTTTGTCACTTGACGGTTTGCGACTTGGTGTTTTTGTCACTTGGCGTTTTTCTTACTGAACGCTTTGCGACTTGGCTATTTTTTTTCCATTTGCTATTTCGAAACACTTGACATGGAAGTATTTTTCTTAAGTGCGAACGCGTAAAGCGTGGAAAAAAAAACAAGAGAAAAAAAGAAAGGATTAACTAGATGAGTGTTTTTTTTTTCCTTTTTTTTTTTCATATGTTACATTTAGGGGTACGTAAATTAGAACAAGTGTTAAAAGGGCACGCGGGAAAATGTACTCAAAGGTTATGCGTCGTACCATCGTACTTGCGGCGTTTATAAGTATAATGGGAGTGAGATGAAAACACGGTTTACGCCTGTGCGCGTTCCAGCATACGTAGGTGTGCGGATGGTACATATGTACGATCGCCCCCGAGTGGCGGTTCAACTTTAATACTTGGGGAAAAAAAAGGAATTCGAAAGGTTACTAACTTTTTGTATGCACGCGAATACGGCGCTGCCACTCGCGTTGGCGCCGCGCGGAAGCGAGTCCTGGGGGGGCGGGGACAAAGGGGGAAAAAAAAACGCCTCCTTTTGAAATGGGGGGATTATAGGCAGCTGGGTATGCATTAATATATATTGCAATATGACACCTCCCTAACACACCTAATTATGTACTTAATTTTATATGCATGGTCGGTGGCATACGCTTTTTCATCTGCTGGAGAACTGCGCCCTGCAGTAGCCTGGGGCAGGGCAATAGGATTAGCACCCCAAAAAATAGCTGTAGTGCCAAAAAAAATTATGTAGAATGTATGCACCACGCCGAAAAATAAATGCTTCAGGAAAAAAGGTATTCCAAAAGTAGCGAAACACAACAAGGAGGGGGGGCTAATTCTGATACATTTGTAACAGTTGGGAAATACGTAACAGAAAAAGCAAAAAAAAAAAAGGAAAAAAGCGAAAATGGCTATGTGGATTTATTCTGCGCATACCGCGTGATGGTGATGAATACGCACGTTTTGCCAATTCGGAGGAGCGACAAAAGATGAAAACGGCGAACACAAGGACGTTAACATGACCGTTGACGTGAATACATAATTTTCACCCCTCGTCTCTTTGTCAGAATTGTCGACAGATAGAATGTCGGAAATAATTTGCAGGTGTTTGCGAATAGGGAAAAATTTCCTCCTTTTGACCCCCTCGAAAAATTCCCCAATTTTTGGCTACATAGCCATTTTGGCTCTTTGGCTATTTATTATGAACAATTCAAAAAAAAAAAAAAAAAAATTCCAAGTTGTTCTCCCCACTTCGCCAAAAGGGCTACATGTAGTAGGTGTATGTTCTGTCACCAACACTCTGAACAGGGGGGATATCAAAAAAGAACTATTTTACATTAGAGTGAAAAATATGGGTTGAAGGATGGTTAAACAATAAATGGTGGTCACGATGATGGCCAATTCGGCCGTAACGCAATCGTCTTACCGTACGGGGGGTTGTTGGCAACCCCCATGAGCTGAGCGTACACAGAATGAATTCCCCTCGCTCGGTGAAAATGTTTTATCGCACTTTCTGCGAAAGCTTCACTGGTGTTTTTAGCTCCGTAAGAATATCCCCTTTTTGCGAGTACCATTCTGTAAAAAAAAATGAACCATAGTTGAGATTGCCCGGGTAAGAGGCGCTCTGCCCATTTACGTGTTGCATTAAAGAGAGAAGCGGATAAAAATCAGTTTCTCTCTTTAACCATTTGATAGGAAAAACGATTAGCAGGCAAAATGGTGATGCGATTATGTGTGCGTCACCGTGGAGGGAATACCAATACGTTATGTCCTCTAAGGTGCGCGTGTCGGATTGTGCCCATAATAAGGCGGCTTCACCGTTGAAGTTGGTTCTTTTTCCTTCTTGTACGAATAAGGGGTTGGCTTTCCGCGATTTGCAGCAGAAGAAGCTTCATCTCGTAGTAGTTTCCCCATGGAGTAGTGTTTCCCCCACGGAGAAAAATTGCCAAGTCCCATTGCATAAGTTGCACGATCATGTTGGAAGGGATGTCCAATTCCGCACACCGTCTCTGTTGGTCTACATATGCATGTACAGACACGTCGACTCTTTTACCCTCATTTCAATCACTTCATAAAGTGCGAAACTGAGTAGCGACGCTATGAGCATGATGCCTATGAGGCATTGAAACATGCTTCTACGGGGGCTTTTAACTGTGATGATACCTGCTCCTAAAGGTGTAACCCCTACCGTTAACACAAGATGGGAAAAAAAAATGCTTCTTCTGTGTGTCCTCATGGAATGGACCAAATGACCCACCTGCTTGCACACCAATACGACGCATATTTTACTAATCTGGGGATCTCCCAGGGGGGTAAATTTTTATATTTCACGAGAGGTGAGAGGAGGTTGGCGGATTAATCACAAAGGCCACACACTCAGCATAACGAGGCAGAAATGGTTCAACAGATTGGTAAACAAATGAGAAGGAAAGGATAGGCGTTCCCTTAGAAATTAAAAAAAAAGCAAAAAGAAGACGGAACAGCTGTGTGAAGGACTGCCAGTGAGGAGAAAACAAAATCCTCAAAATTGTGTTTCACATGGGAACAACATATGATACACCCCTGCTGGAGGTACTTATGGCTCAAAGCCGCACACATGTTGGATTTGCTCACGCGGAAAAGGGAAGCACACACGGGGAATTGCATCCAACATTGTGTGTGCGGCTAAATGGGGAGAAAAGCACTACAAAAAAAGGATCAACAAAACAAAACAGGATAAAAAATAATACCACTGGAGAATGCAAACCATTCTTTAAGCTGGGAAAAGGCGTATGGGTGTAGAGAAAGGTGTGTGGAAGGGCGTTGACATCCCACGGCCAACGAACTACTGCGTGGCAATTTCCACCAGTTTGCCGCTTTCCCGCCACTTCTCCACCTCTCCGCCTCACCTCAGAAAAAGTCGTCCCGCTGGTAAAGGACCGAGTTCCCCAGCGTGTCCACCGGAAACATATGATGGACGGTCCTCAAATCAGCGTTGTTGGGGAAGTGGAAGAAGGTCAACACACAGGAGTTAATTTCTTTGCTCTTCTCGACCAAAACTAAGTGGGAGGCATTCCTAAAAATTATCATGTGGCAATTGATGAAAAATTTGGACGTGTTCTTGAAAACGTGGACGCTACAGATGCTGTCTTTCTCGCCACAGAGAATGAGAACGGGTATATGATTAAGTCCGACTTCTTTGAATACGTCATGGGCGCTCCACATTTTTAAGTTGTTAATGCAGCCCAGTATTGCGTGCGTGATATTTTTTTTCACAAACGCCTGCCACATGATTCGGTTGTACAGGTAGTCGGACGTGTCGTCATCGGAGTCGTCTTGGGGATCTTGCTTGAGCGATTCGCCGGGCGCATCTTTGGGGTCACTTTTGTGGTCACCTTTGTTGCCACTTTTTGACGCCCTCATGTGTGACCCCTTCCTGGAGGCACCTTGGGGCACACCCTTGGAGTCCCCCTTGGAAGCGCGCTTAAAATTCTTCTTCGAAATAAAACAGGGCAACATAAAAAAGGACGAAATGTTGATCAGACAGGGGAACAACTTTAGAATCTTCACGGGAAAAGGCTTTTTCTCCAAAATACCAACAGGGGATATCAAAATAATTTTCTTCACCTGTTTTATGTACTTCTTTGCAAAGCCGATGGCAATTACACAGCCCATGGAAAATCCTATCAGATAAAAATCTTTATGTAGTAATTTTAAATGGATCAGCAATTCCTCCGTCTGAGTCAGAAAAAAATTTATTCCATAGGTTTTCTTTCGGTGATTATATTTGGGGCAGGCAGATAATCCATGTCCATACAGATCAAAATTGAGAACCTGGAACTTATGTTTGACTAGCGTTTTTTGTATGTCCAGGAAGGTTAAGTTTGTTCCGTTTAGTCCATGAAATGTGATGACGAGCGTCCCTTTTTTGTTTCCCTTCAAATCATAATTTATTATTCCGTACTTGCCAAAAAACACCTTCCTGTACACGAAGGGGCACTTGATGTTTTTTTTTTTGAGGTACCTTGGAACTTTGTATATGACGAAATTGTTTTCCTCGGGGACCGGGTTATCAGGGTCGTGCGTCGATGACTCCGTCGGTGGTTGCGCCGGTTGGTTGGCCTCCTGACGCGCCTCCTGACATACAGCTTCCCGCTTGGCTCTGCGTTTCATCCTCCCCATAATCCTGCGCCTGAAATTCCATTTCTTCTTCCTTGCGCTTTCTTCGCTCTTCTCTCCCTGGTTGGCCTCTACACACGAGTTTTTCTCCACGCTGGAGGGCCCTGCGGCGGCGCTATTGTCATTCGACTCGTCCATTAGAACATGTGAGTGCATCTCTACATTTACAATTTCGTCCCTCCGCGGGTTGTATGCGAAGTAACTGTAGCTTCTGTGCTTGCGGCTTCCGCTACTGGGGCTTCCATCGTAGAGACTTCCACGGTTGAGACTTCCACGGTTGAGACTTCCACGGCTGAGACTTCCATCGCTGAGACTTCCATCGCTGAGACTTCCATCGCTGAGACTTCTATGCCCTTCTCTCCACTTATCCGTGTTCGCGTCGCGCGTGTGCGTACCATCCCTTGTTCTAATTATACTTTTCAACGCGAGGGAATATTTTTTTTCCCCTTTCGGCAGGCATCCCTTTGGAGGTGTTTCCTCGGAGCTGTCTGTCGCTTCGTCTGTTGTGAGCATTTGGTTCTTTTCCAGATCATCATCCGTTGGTTTTGTCTCCTTGTTTACTGTGAGGAGGGGATATCTACCATTCTGTTTTCTCTCTTGTTTTTTCTTCTTTTTTTCATCCTCCTCTGCGTGGTCATGTGGCAATGTCTCTTGGTGGATCCCTTCCCCATTTTTCACGTGGAACTGTTCTGTACGCTCACCCGAATGTGTGTCCTTTTGCTCACTTGACAATTTTTTGCAATTTTTTTTTCGTTTCTCCATTACGGTTACGTTGCATTCTTCCTCTTTTGCGTTCCCCACAGTGACTGCTACATCTCCAGCGTCCTCTTCACTTGTCATTTTGGATAAAGCGGTTGGTATTTCCGTTTCTTCGGTCACTTCGTCGCTCGCTTGAAGGTGCGACTTTAATTCTTTCTTTAGGGTTTTTGCTTTATCCCGAGATAATGACATTCACTCTGAGCATCTAGGGTATCCTTTATGGGCTTGTCTCTTCCGTACCACAACGGTTTTATTCCCTCGCATGGACAGCTACCAGAAAATCGGCATCCTTCTTTCAACGTGAAGGTGAATTGCTTATGATGGACAGGGGATGGGACATCCAATTTTTGCACTCCTCATGGATAAATCAAAATGGGGATATATACGGGGTAGGAAAGGCATGAAGATGGGGACATGTTACCAATTTGTGTTGGGGGGAAGAGATCGACCAAAAGATTGGATGCCTCAGTTTTGCAAAATTTTTTTTTTTTTTAATTTTCCAAATTGAGAGTCTGCACTCGTACGTGTGAAGTGCAACTTACGGGAAGTCCTCCTCGACATGTGAGGTGGCCACCCTTGAGGCTAAATTGGTGTTTCGAAGACAGAAGCACTTCAGTTTTGTACACGGCGAGACGAAACATGCCAGTTGTGTACAAGGCGAAACACTGCAGTTGCGCTTCGAACTGTTGGTGCGCATTCTTCCTACGTCTCGTGAGAGGAAAACGAAAGAGGAGCAAGTGTGTCTACGAATTGTGCATTCAATTCGTTTCCAAATTTTATGATATGGAAACAGGATAATTGGGAAGGGGAAAGATAATGATTCTGTGGTCAATGGGGAAGGAGCTGTGGACGGCTCATCAGATCTTCAATTCGGGTGTTGCGGACGAAAATGAGAACACCGGGTGGTCGGGCAAACAGCAAAGCGGCCTTAACAATAAAGTTGGAAAAATTGTGCAAAATGGGCAGATTGTTCAAAATGTACAAATTGTGCGAACTTTGCAAAGTTGGCAAAAAATTATAATCAGCAAATGATGCGAAGCAATGTGTTGGCTTTGCCTGAACGACGTATGAAAAAAAAAAAGCTACAATGCATGTTGCGTATATGTATACTCTTCACAGGGCTCGCCGAGCCCGAAATAATTTACATGTGGGACTTGGCCAAAAAGTGGTAGTTTTCCCGTTGGGCATCCCCAAATGAGTAATCACCGAATCGAGGCAGCTACAAAAGTTTCACGCGCGAAGAGGTTTTTCTCCCAGTATACTAGGTGAGCAACTTTAACCATACCTGCCAGTGAAGTCCGTACGCACGGCAACCCCAACTGGCTCAAATCCAAGTAAACAAAAAGAACCTTCGTAATAAAAAAGGAAAAGGAGAAAATCAGGCTAATGTGAAATAGGCATATCACGTATATGTTTCTTTTCCGTTTGGACGTTGACCGTAAAAACGTACAATTGTAAGTGAAGTGGGGAAAGAGAGAGGGGCATAAGGTGTACCAAAACGGTAAATACTGGCGAACTAAGGGAGGTATAAAAAATATATAAGGGGTTAATGTTGCAGATAAAAAGGATTTTTTCTGTTGTTGTTTTTTTCCCTTTTTTTCAGTTTCATATCTGCTATTCGTTCGCCGTGACCTTGAAAACTTTGTTGCTCCTTGGGGCGTATACAGATAGGGGGAAGTTTTACTGTGTGCTCACAATTTTTTTTCTTTTTTGTGGCGAATTTGAAGGTGTACAGAAGAGTGTACGTGGAAAGGCATACTTAGGCGTACATACACCTCAAACCTACTTACATAAACGTACAGAGGCGTTTATATAAATGTGTTCATTTGTAAATACGTTATGCTTACCTGTGCGTAGGCGTGTGCATGCCCCCTTTGTGTGCATCTCACCTTTCCACTCCTCCCAACAGTAGCCCCTTCCTTCACCGCGCGCGCGTCAAATTAGTGACAAGAAGGAAGAGAAAAAGCGCGTAGCAGCAAAATTGCTGGGAATGTTGGGTAACATGCGATTAAAGTTGCCATGCTGTATTTTTGTATGCACACAAGTTCGCAATCGTCACGACATGCATACACATTTATTTGCATCCCGAGAACACACACACGCGTTCACATGCGAGCGCTGAAGTGCTACTCCAACACGCATGACCGATTTCGAGAGGAGAAAAAAAAAAAAATTATAAAATAAACCCGGCACATCGGAAGTGCAACCTTTAATTTGGAAATTTTGCACAAGTCAGAATTTAGGGCAAAAACAAATCTGACTGTTTCGAGGGAGTAGAAGAATTGTGTCGCGTTTGTGCCGACTTGGTGTCACCTTGGTAACAGCACTGCGCCAAAGTTACGCGAAAATTGCGCCCCAATTAGAATGATAGTTTCCGCCCACAGGAAGGAACTCCCCGCAGCACACTGTCATTTATCAGAAAACGTACGACCCTCGATGGGCAATGACTACAGGTGCCAACCATAATGGTAACAGGGAAAAATAATAAAAGGGAAAAATAATAGCAAAGATATCGAGAGAGGAAAAAACGTAAGAACCGAGTGAGAAATCAGTGAGACGCAAACGTGATAGAATAGTAGTACCAAACGGATAACCTATAAGCACTCAGAACGGGGAATCATGACAAGTCTTAATAACGTCCAAGACGAAGAGGACAAAAATGCTGCAAATGCAGAGGTGGATTCGCCAAACGAAAATGGGCAAGTGCCAGTGAGCCCCAGTTATCAGAATTCGGATAAAGATGGAGCCGAAAAGGGACAACCCTTTACTCAAATTGGAGATGCAAAAAATGGGGACAACAGTGCATGCACATCTGCCTCGGCTACGGCAATGACTGGCGCTAGCTTTGATAAGAAGAGAAAAGCGGAAGCAATGGAGGAACGGTACCAATTGGACAGGACCCTTGACGGCATGAGCAGTGGCACCAATGTTGATAAAATTGACTTGATGGAGAACTCCACTACTGGTAGCATAAACAAGCATGCGAAAACAGAGGATGGAGGAATCAGTTGTGCCGATCCCATCCAGAAGAGCAACAAAGGGCTCGATAAGCTGAATGAGGACACGTACATGCATGGGGATACTCATGCGCACGCGCGTGTGGAAAAGTGCGCCACGAAGGCAGAGCTCGAAAGTGATGACACTGCTCAGGGAAACGCGACCACTGGAAATGCTAAAGAAGAACAAAGAGGAGTCGAAGCAGGAGAGAGTAACAAAACGGAATTAGCACGAAGTGACGCAAGTAAGGAGGAAAAGGCAAAAGAGAAACCGAATGGACATGCGACGATGAAGAACGAAGCAAGGCAAAGACATGCACAACCGGAAGCGAATAGCAAGAAAAAGGAAAGCTATAAATATTTTATTGATTATAGCAAATATAGAAGCAAAAATAATGTGACGTTCTCAACAAAGTATAAAGACAGCTGTGTGAATTTAAGCAGCGATAAGCTCACCTGTTATGGAGACAAAGGATGGTCCAGTGTTTTCGTGAATAATGGGGCGGACATCGGAAAATGGTACTACGAAATAAAAATTGAAGAACCAGTGCAAAATTTCCAGTTTCTAGGTTACAGGGACAAAGTGATAAAGGTAAACCCATATATAAGAGTCGGTTTCGCTTGCAGATACATGAGGTATGACTATCCCATAGGAACAGACAAATATAGCTACTGCGTCAATAGCAAAAATGGAAGAATCTTTAACAACTCCATAAGTTACGACTGCATGGAACCAATTAAAGTAGGTGATATCATTGGGTGCTATTTAAATTTGAAGAACAAAAATACGTATAACTTCGATCCAAGATCAGATAAAAAATTGTATGAATATTTGCAAAATGGTATTCTATGTGATCCAAAAGATCCACCCATGTTAAAGAAAAACTACGGCTCGTCTATTTTTTTCTCCCTAAATGGGCAAATAAAGAAAAACGCCTTTGTTGATATTTATGAAGGATTTTATCATCCGTCTGTGAGTTTGTACATGGGTGCTTCAGGAAAGATTAATTTGGGTCCTCATTTTGCATATAACCATTTGAATGATTACATCCCGTGTGTGTTTATGGAGCCACCGATTATTTTGTGAGGAGTTGGGGGTCTGGAAGAGCAAGAAAAAAAATGTCTTCAAGCGGAGCGTTAAAAAATATTATCCGTTCGTATATTTTTAACAAAAGTGTGTGCAAAGGGGTAAGTACACATTATGAAGTGTCCATTTTTTTTCTTTTTTTTTAACCCGAGGCGACACGTCTCTGTGAGCAGCTCAGCATTTTTGATAAGCCAACGTCTAGGGTGATTCATGCTTTTTGGCGCCTTGCGAGCGTTTTCTCGTTCGTCGCCATTTTTGCCGTTTTAGTTGTTATTTTCGTTCTCATTTTGGCCATCATTTCGTCGTCATGTCTTTTCCATTCCGCTATCATTTCGCCATCATTTCGTCATCGTTTTCGTTTTATTTGCGTCCCTTTTGCGCCTTACCATGCAGGAGGACACTCTGGTTTGCCTCATTTTTTTTGTAACTTTGTTTTAGTATTGTCTTAAATGAAGCAACATAAGTTATTTTCGTGCGAGTGATTTCGCTAATGCCCTCGCCGTGGATCTACATGCATCAATTAAGGACACACCTTAACCAATTTTAAGTGAGGAATTGCCTTCCATCAGTGGAGGGGTGGTTGGTCTAGCGGTGTTAATTAAGTATCGTTTTAAGGGGGAGTCTTTTAAAAAAGGGGACAATTAACAAATGGTCACAAGGAAGGTGTGAAGGGGGAGCACACAAAAAACTATCAAAAAAATGAAATAAAATAATATACTAAAATTACAAGGTAAAATAACAAAATGAAATGGCAAAATAATCAATCAGTGTGGACACGGATTGGAGTAGGAAAAATCCAATTTGGTCGTCTGAAAAATGGTGTAGTGCAAGATGACATATATGAACTGCAGAAAGTTGAAGATTGGCCAGTACTCCTTGATGAAGTAAATTTCTGTAAATTCCGAAATCTACATATTAGAGAGGGAGAAGATGGGGGAGGGGAAGAAGTTTACGAATTGCGCTTTGGACGAGGGGGTGTTCACGTTTATGGCGTAAAAGTCTGCACACGGGATGGTGCACTTGAGCGGAGTTTTATAAAGATGCTTTCTTTTTTTTTCTCGTATGGCTAACTTGGTAGAGCATAAAGTCGGACAGTCGCTTCTCGCCGGACGTCCGTATCAAAATGTTCGGAGGGGGCAGGTCGCAAGTGAGGAGCTTCTTATGGTAATGGAGTCTGTTGGGTGGGGGTCAGGGTAACGGAATCAATTCGGAATGGTGGGAAGAGATAACGTGCAGGTGAAACGGTCGGTATTGCCCAATGCACACATTCCCCCCAGATGGGGCTTCGTCAGGGGAAAAGACAAATATATAGTAGCATCATCTGTGTTATCATTATTTATTTCTCCATTATTTTTACGATACATTTTGATTTGCCCCCGATTTAGGAAAGAGCGCCCTCCACATATACATTCCACCTCGAACAACTTATAGCTGTCACCCCTTTCATTCTTCAGTGTGCTTTCTAAATAATCACATTTATCTTCGTCTTCCTGCTTTGTTAATGTAGAGGAGGGAGTGCAGAGTACTTCCCGCTCCTCCAGCAGGCTCTTATATGTGTTGAAGTACAAATTGGGATTGAATTTGCAGAGACTCATTTCGTTTCTACTGGTGTAGGAAAAGAAGAGGTTCAAGAGGAGGCTACGGATGAGAAGGGGAGGAGGGAAAGAAATGAATGATTCACATAACGATCCGAATAGTGCACCTGCGATGGTGCCAACGTCTGTGAAGTCCGTGTGCAAAAGTGCACTAACGAGGCATACGAAGATGTGAAGAAAGAAAAAGATATATTTCTAAACGTCCCAGCAGGCTCGTCTTTTCTGTAGTTTACTTGTCAAACTGCTCCGTCTTCTGTTCAATGTCGTGGATAATTTTTCTGTAAGCTTCGTTGATGTAAGAAAGGTTTCCAATCACTTTGACTCTAATTTTGTTGTCCTTTATGAAATTCCTGATGAGTAGGTTAAACCGTTTGCGTGTTTGGGAAATTTACGTGGGAATAACATTTGGGACAGCCCTCGCCGCGTAATCGCATGAGCAGATGGATCCGTGAGCAATGCACTTACATGAAAAACTCCTCGTTAATTAAAATGAGAAGATTTAGATAAAAGAGGAAGTGTATTTCCTCTGGGCTTCTGTTATAATTCAACAGGGAAAGCGAAAAGACGGATAGCACTTTTATGTTCAACCTAACGCATATTTCTATGATCTGGGTGAGAAGCGGTGACGTGGTAGCTGTGACGTGGTAGCTGTGACGTGGTAGCGGTGACGCAGGTTATGCTCAATTGATGCTTCGAATAGGCGGTCATATGGGCACCTTGCATTTGGCGCCTATGCGTACAGGAAAATTCCTACGCATAGATCTGCTAACTTGGATGAGCGTTCTCGATCCCATGTAGTGCCCCAGAGAGGAGTGGAGTCCCTTTTCCTTTGCGAATCGCCTGTTGCCGTCCATGATTATGGCTTGGGAGGGGGGGAAGTTGGGCGTGCATACGTGAGGAATACACCTATGAGGTGTACACCCAACAGGATCACACCCATGAGGAATACACACGTGAAAGGTGCACACATTGGGGTAGGGTCTACATATGCATGTGACAGGGTGCATTTCGGCAGACACGCAGGGGGGTAATTTCCACCCGAATGGAGGTTAGCTCATCTGTTTGTCTTTTTCCTTTTCCCTTTTACATATATGCTTGACGTTGATGAGACCCCGAAGGAGCGAAGTGATCAGCCTTTCCAATCTGCAAGATGGGGTGAAAATTGCAGGTGCATCATTTTTTGTGTTTCTAGCGGGTGGGTGGTCATCTCGCCGCGTTCTACTTGCTCACTATTATTATTATTATCATTATTTTATTTTTTGTTTTGTTTTTTTTTTTCCCGCGGGGGTGCTGTACATGTTCAATGCCATCTTCAAAGAGGCCAAGTCAATCCCTCCTAGTGCATCCCTCACTGGAAAAAAAGAAAAAAAGAAACTCCCATAAGTGTATCCAAATTATTTAATGATAACTTCTCTTGCGAGGGGAACAAATGGCTAGTTCCCATGAGGTAATGCTCAAGATGGAAAAAAAAAAAAAAAAAAAAAAACGATCTGTTGAATAAACAAACAGGGGTGCATTCTGATGGTAGCATTTTCCTGATAGGCAAGGCGTAAAAAAAAAAAAAAAGCCTAGTGAATCTGTCCAGTCGCTCAGTACGGGTGATGAAAGAAACATTAAACAACGCGCACATACACATTATGGCCCGCTTCCCATGCGGAAGTACTACGAAGCGTTAACTCCCCACACACGAAGAAGCTTCTTAAATTATGTGCTGGAGGAAGAACGAGAGTTACGCCTCTATAACTTTGGGTGTGACATACTGGGGTAGTAATTCGAAGAAGAAGAAAAAAAAAATTCTTTAAATGTACCAATTGTAGGAGTGAGCGGCCAGGAAGGAAAACTATGACTCTGGTCTTTGTTTCACTTTATTTGTTAGGTTACCAAATGGGTGTTACTATAGGTTTGGTGGTGTGGCATACAGTGAGACATAGCGAGGGGAACTTCACCCCCAAATTTGGCTAATTCCCATAGTGCACGTGAAGTAAGTTTTGCCTCTCTCGAGCGAAATTGAAGTCCCCATGTGAAGACAATGGGGAAAAGTAGAGGAAGCAGGGTACACAGGTGAAACAGAAGTGATCACCGGAGAGTCGATGCGTTTGCTCCTCTGTCACACTCACAGCTTGATCATGTAGCGGGGTGTGGCAGCTTGTCCATCGGAGAGGGTGCACCGTCTAATGGTCTCCTTTTTGAAAAGGGAGCACGAAGAAAGGTACGCAAAGCGAGGAGGTAAAGAGAGTCCACAAAAGAAATACCTTCTACGTACCAAATTTAGACGGAGAGAAAAAAAAACATCTTAAAGAGCATGTCTTTACTAGGAAGACAGAGGTAGGTCTAACGAAGAACATGGCCACTTTATTTTTTCTTTTCCCTCATTGATGGTTAAGGCAATGTGTTGTAACTTTCTCGTTCCCGCTTATGGGTAGCTACACAGACGTACTTACACGTGTGTGTGCCCCTGCATAGGGGCCCGTCGTCCCGGTGAACAGCAATCTAGGCGTCCCTTTCCACTTCTTCACGTGTCGCTGCCTAACCGGTGTGACCCCTAGAAAGGACAAAAATTGTTAGCCTCGTAAAAAAAAAAATGTTAACGGTGCATGGGAAGAAAAAAAAAGAAGGAATAAAAGCAACTCTTCATGCAATCCCTGTGTACACCCACTCACCATCTGTTTCGTTTTGTAAAAATTTCTCTGAGTGTAGGATCTCGTAAAAGGTATTTTCCCTTTGATGGTATATTCCTTTACGTTAGGTTGTTTTGTATGCACTTGCGACGTTTAAACGGATATTCAAGTGGGGGATAGGCAGCTAGGGATCAAGTCGCCAGGGGAAAGAACAGAAAACAAAGGACCATGTGCTTTGGCAAATGATAAGAGCAAGGTGGAAAAAAAAAAAAGAATGACACCCCGGGGTGCTCTTAACCTTGGAGCTGATTTAAACTCGGGCGGAAATATGGAGCCGATAAAAATGGGGCACAAAATAGCCGCACTAAAACAAAGCAGCCCAAATGGGTAATAAAATACCCCGCCATTATACGTCACCAAAATAAAAAAAAATGGACGAACGGACGCGAAAGTGAAGCCGGACGAAGGCGCCCAAAAAAGAATAAAATAATAAAGTGCCAAACTGGCGAGTCCAGGAAAGGAAAAAAAAAAAAAAAAGTACCAACAAGTGCGAAAGAACGCGGAAACGTGAAGCCGCACGGAGGGGTAACAGAAAATAACCCAACCTTTTCTTCCGAAGAGGCAGCAGTAAAGGGATGCACAGTTTCGGCATCCCTTCGTAGGCCTCATCACCGCACGGACGATTAAAAGCAGAGCGATTTTAATTTTGGGGGAATCTGGGAAGGACCATATTACTTTATCATCGCAGAGTGGCTGGAGGCAATTGCAGAGGAGATAAAGTTCACAGCCTGTTTCGACACCGAGGGGAAGAAACCTGTAGGGTTGGAAACACATAACAGAAGGGAGTGTTAGCCGAAGGAGGAGCGACATCCCAGGCATTGCGACAACCTCGGCATTTCTACATTTTTCTTTCCCGTTTGTGTTTCTTTGTGGTTCTTTGAACCTTCCCCCGTTTCGCGGACCCGGAGCGGCGAGCTTTGAGGGATCCGAGCGAAGTGCCCACCAAGGGGGAAAACGTAGGACGCGCAGGGGAAAGGTGCCGCGGTGAACGTACTGACGTACTGCCACATTGCCCTACTACCGCGCATACACACTGATCCGCTGTCACCGCAAAGGAGAGGATAATGCTAGACAAGGGAAAAGAGGATGCGATTTTGCAGAGCGCCCTTCAAATATGCCTGAGGAGGGAGGAGGCGAGCAACGCCAAGGTGCACCTAGAGTCGTACGAAAGGGAATTGAGCCAAACGAGCAAAGAGAAGAAGCCACCATCATTACAGATTGATAACTTATATTTTATCCTCCTGCACAAAATAGCTTACCTGCATAAGCAAAAGAAGAACTGCCTGACGTACTTGTGTTCCTGTTCGTCGAGGTTATCCGATAGAACTCTCTTCAAACATGTGCAGCTCGAGAGTAAGCAGATCGATGATGTAACCAATGAGATCAACGATCAGATAATCAATAGTGTAATTATTTATTTGGAGAATCTGGAGGTGTATCCAGAGGTGAGTATCCCAGCGAAGGAGCGGATTCACACCTTTTATGAATTCCTAAAGGATTCATGTACTTCTCGTTTTTTAAAAAAAATCCTATTCGTCATTGAAGAAAATGATAAGAATGAAGAGAGAGAGGAGGATAAACAACTTAATAAATTTTTCACTCCCATTGTGGATCTCATTTTGGAAAACTTGAATGGAAGAAATTTGGTTTATCCAAAAAATGACGTGGCTGTTTTGTTAAAGTTCCTCTCAAGCTTTAAGCAAATTGCGGAACTTATTATTTCTAATAAATCGATATTTTTGCATCTCAATTTGAAAGACAAGATAAGGGATTGTGCATCGTCCGGAGTGGACAGCGCTGCAGGAGAAGGTGAAATTCATGCTAGCTATGCCGGGTTCGATGCAGAGAAACCGGGTAGCAAGGACAAAGAAATAAACTCATGCGGGTATAACCTCCAGCTAAACAGCCTCCTGGGAAGATTAATCTCCCCCACAGTTATAACGATGCCAAATGTGACGAACAAGGAGGAGATTGCCATGTACAAATACTTCTACAACAGTGCAACGAATTCTCTGAACAAAATGACATTGGCTGCTTTGAAAAATACATATGTTATGTTGAGGAGAGACACCGACTGGATTTTGGAGAACTGCGTGGAGACGATAAAAAATTTGCTTAAAGGAAGTGTGGACAGCAAGAAACGAGTCCTCCTCTGGCTAGCTTGCATTATCATTTCGAACGAGAAAAAGACGAAAATCATGTACCACTATTCGACTTATCCACAATCGTTAGACGCATCTTACGGATTGTTTTTAAAATTGTTGGGAGAGAATTCCTACGGCTTTTGCCTGAACATGTTTTGGGTTCTACTCTGCTTGTGTGAACCGATTACGATGAACAAGATCAGCGACTTCGACTTGTTTTTTTTTCTGAGGGATGATCCCTTCTCTAAATTTTTGTTAAAAAATATAACCAATCAGTCTTCGTTTGAAGAAAAATCCAATGTGGAAAAAATAAAAGAGAAAGTAAAAAATGCAGAATCATTCCGGAAGGAACCTAAATTTATAACGTCCATCTTTTGGATCACATTTAAGTCTCTTAGTGTCTTCTTCAAACCAGCCATTGATGAATTTATCCGGATAGTACAAGAGGTACCCAATGCAAAGGACAAAAAAGTGTACTACATGAATATACATACATGGAAGATTTTTCTCTACAGCTCTCGTTTTATTCAATTGTTATTTAAATTTTTGCACCTCAGCATCGCATACTTTTTGCATGTTGCTTATTTGTACGACATGGAAGGGAATGCCTGCATAGATATGACGAAGCTTCTGAGTGAATACAATGGGAATTTCACCCACCTGGTGTTGAAGTCATGCCCTCCTCCGAATGAGAGGAACTACATCAGGAGAGGTAGAACTTTCGGCAGCCTCTCCCTTTCCGCGAATGTCCACGAGGGCCAAGGGGAGGAACCACAGGAAGGCGCGGAAAAGCGAGATGGAGAGGAGCCACGGGTGGAACTCTTGCAGGAAGAGAATCTCCGCGCGGAACTGCCACAGGAAGAGAACCGTCGCGCGGAACTGCCGCCAGACGAAGTGGGGGCGAACGGAGCGCAGGGCCAAGGAGGGAGTGAAAACCCAGAGAGGAGTCCCACCCAGGAAAGCGACGACCACTTGTTTGCATCCCCCCAATTCTCCATCATCCCGACATTTTTCCTAAACGATATATTTGACATAATATACCTCCTATACGAACTGGACACCTTTAAAAGTCCGGGGAATGAAAATTTCCTGAGTTACCTAAATGTTGACTTATTTCTTTCCTTCTGTATCTTCACGATGCTGAGCGAGAACCACATAAAGAGCATCCACCTGAGGTGCGAAGCGGCTCCGAAAACGTTTACCTACCTGTATAGAAGTGAAAACATGAAGAAGATCATAGAAGAATCGGATTTGACTCGAAAGTATATCATAAAATCGTTGACCTACGTTTTTATTGCGTCACAAAAAGGAGAGTATACGGAGAGGATGCAAACTAGGGTTCGCATCGTGGAAAATTTTAACAGTCTCTTTCTTAACGAGATTTACGTGGATCAGTTTACACAGCTAGTTATTCGGAACAACAATTTGTTCGTGCACTTGATTCACCTGTTACTGAACGATGTGAACTTTTTGGTCGAGGAAGTGGTTTCGTACTTGTCCGAGATTAAGCGTCGGGAGGATAAGAAGCAGGACGACCAGGAACGCGGGGGAATCGCGGCTGCCGCTACTGGTGGTGTGACTGCCGCTGCTGCTACCGCTACTCGCGCGGGAGGGGGTTCAAATACGTACGCCAACGCGACACGTAACAGCAGGGTGTCCAACGCCAATGCGAGCAGTGCGCTGAACCCCTCTGGGGAAAGCGATCTAGAAGACAGTGCACCGAACCTGAACGAGTCGTACAACAGTGACAACAGCGATAATGACCAGGGAGGGGGAGGCAATGTCGGAACGGACATAAGGAACCAAAGTATGAGGAATTTAGCGGCGAGGACCAAAATGATCATTACTTACTGCTACAAGTCTTGCATTTTTTTGAATTTGCTTTGTAAGAACTACCCAAACAATATCGTCACATCGAATACGATTCTATCCCAAATAGTTACCTGCTTGAATTGCTACTTCGATTACCTAGTGGGACCAAAATGCTTAAACATAAAGGTGAAGAATATGGAACAGTATAATTTTAGACCCCAGTTATGGCTAACCAGTATCGTAGAGTCCTACCTCTTTTTACTAAATTCGGATAAGAAAAATGAGGAGCTTCTTATCAGAGAAATCGCCAACGAAGGAAGGTACTACAAACCGGAAGTATTCAACAAGGCTTACTACATATGCAAAAGGGAAGGACTACTACGCAAGGAGGATCTAAATAAATTTAAATTTTTCTGTCAACATATTATTGATATGAAAGACGAAGTGGAACTTTTTGACGATGTGAATGATATACCTGATAAATATTTGGATCCGATTTTGCAAGACATAATGTTAGATCCCGTTTTGCTACCCACATCTGGCATTGTCATCGATCGAAAGAATATTGAGAGGCACCTGATGAGTGAACCCAATGACCCCTTTAACCGAGCACCCCTCAGCAAGGAGCAGCTGGTACCCATGCCAGAGCTCAAGGAGGAAATTCAGAAATTTATTAACGAATTGAAGCAGGAGAAGAAGAGGAAAAAGAAAATGAAGCTTTTAGAGTTGGATGCCCAAAATGAATCCATGGAGAATGAGGGGTTTCTTGGAAATGAGGACGACGCGCAGGAAGTGAAGGGACAAAGGGAGCAGCCGGTCGAGTCGCTACACGAGGGGGATACAAAGGAGAACGAGCAGGAATGACCCAGGGGAAAAGGAGCGAATTGGGGGCAGTACGTCGCGCAGACGCATAGGACGAGCAGTCAGCTAATACTAGTGGGATGACCATCCTGTCTACACACGTCCCATCATCTACTGTGTGTTGCCCCAACGGGGTGGAGAAAAAGGGAAGATCATCTTTGAGGGGCCACTAACAAGAATACTACCCCTCCGTGGAATAGTTCACGAGGATTCACTTTGTTTACCCCTCCCCTGGCCATCCCGTTCATCAAAAGAATAACGGGGAAGAGAACTCGGCATCCTTCGAAACATCCCTGCTTTGCAGCCGCGTGTAGAGGAGCCAACTGGGACGGGGCGGCAAAGAGGGGAAAGAAAAAAAAAAAGTCTCCCTCTTAGCAGATTTTGTTTCGATTCGAGCTGCCGCGAGGATCAGTGCCACGGTCGTGTGTGTGTGGATCTTTTCACTAAAAAGGGACAGTTTTCAAAAAAGAGGGGAAAAAAAAGAGAAATAAAATGTTGTTGAAGGGGCTGTTAAAATGTTATTCAAAAGGGTGTTAACAAATGAGTAGAAATTTAGCGCCGCGCTGGCATCAGGCGTCCTGATAGTGCTACACAAAATGAAATGTACAAACAGTGACTGGGACCAGGATGATCCGAATAGCTGGGGTGGGGGGCGAAGTGCCCCCCTTGGGTAGCGCTTCAAAAGAAGCTTTTTACGTGAATGGCAAATGGACGGCTGACCGCATCTTCCAGGGAAAGAGCAAAATAGCCAACCCATCATATGGATCGGTAAACCTTAAATCCTATGATCGCGAAACAGGCCAAGAAAACATATGTCTTCCAGTACTTCATGAGCATAATTCTTTTCAATTTTTTACTATTTTGAACAAAGTGTAACGTGTTTTTCGACATGTTTTGCGTCTTATGTTTGAGAGCTTTTATGTTTCCCCTGGATTGATATAAATTATCGATGTGATTATTCATGACGGAATTAATTTTATGTAGCTTTTGTTTCACTGCTATCATTTTTTCATCACGACAACATTTATTAATGCCTTTAATTGTGCGCTGCAAAAACGCTTCTGTGGTGTGCATTTTGGACGGGTTGATATTTTTCGCTTTGTAATTCTGGCCAGAAAATAAATCCGACTTTGTGTATATTTCCAGTTTCTTCAAGAACTCGAATGCGTAATTCTTGAAGTAAGCTTTCATATGCAATCCGATAAGAAAGAATGCCATTTTTTTTTCTGTGCAGATTGTGAAATAAATAATTCTGTTGTCCCAATTAAGCATTTTTTTATTGCAATGATTTAGTTTCCTTTTGGAGGCACCCAGTATTTTTTTTATTGTGTAGTTCGCGGCGGCGTCCAGCTCATGGGGCAGGAAGCTGCACTTGAACAAAATTTCGACGTCCTCTATCGATGCTATGCAGACGTACTTGAACATTTCGCCTTCACATTGGGGCGGACTCTGATACTCGTGCGTGTAAGGACTTTCATGCTTCAGCTGGTACGGATTTTGATACTCGAGCTGGTAGGCATTATGGTCTTCCCCCCGGTACTCACTGTCGTCGTCGCGCCGATACTCACTTTGGCTTTCGCTTTGGCTCTCACTTTGGCTCGCAATTTGATTTGCCTCTTTGCGCCACATCTTGTACGTGTGCCTCCTCCCCCGCGCTCCGCCCGTCCGGTGGAAGTTGCCCAGTTGGCTCCGTTCGTACCCGTGGGACCGCTCCTCGCTAGTGTCATTCGCTTCCGTCCCGGTTTCCCCACTGTACAGACTATTGGAGTAGGCTACTTCCTCATCCGATAGCATATACATTTTCGCTGGTGATCTCGTTTGGGCGAAAAAAAACGGGTAAAACGCGCAACATGTCCCTTTCTACACGAAGGTGCGCATTTGTGTACTCCTTGGTCACATGGATTGTCTCAATAATGGAGGACGGATTTGTCGTCTCTTCGCCGCAGGATGGAGTTTTTTCTTTTTTTTAGCGAGAGGGGAAAGAAAAGCGTCCCAATTTTTGCGACTTCCCTACGATTTCGTATCAGAATGGTCTATTTGGAGAGAGAGAGAAAAAAAATATACTCTCCTCTTCACCACTTACTATGATGCTACACAAATTTCGTAAACGTAAAAATGTTGCCAGGGAGGTGCTCGCCCTCTGAGTATTTTTTTTTTTTTTTCCCTTTGCCAGTATCGCAGTTGGATGATGGGGAGGTGCATATGAACGTCCATACAGTTGGGCCCCTGTTCTTTTTTCGCGTAAAGTCGTTTGTCCCTTTTAAAATGAAGCATCGCTTCGCAGCCGCTTCTTTGTTTTTTTTTTTTTAATTTAAAATTGTAAATGGCATGCCACTCCATTAGCGCGCTTTTTGCACAGGTTTTTGCAGAAGGGGGCAGCACATTTGTCGAGGTGGTGGAAGTGCTTGAAATGGTTGAAATGATCGAAGTGGTTGAAGTGGTTGAAGTAGTGGAAATGATCGAGGTGATTGAGGCGATCCAGCTGATCTGGGTGACTGAACTGCCCCAATTGGAGGAGTTTCCCGCTGGGAATGGAAAGCAGAGCGGCATAAATAATCATCTCAATTGACAGCATTAAAAAATGAGGAGGGCATTTTATTCCTCCCCCTTGCAGTTGGCATTATGTAACATTTTAAAGTAAACCAAAATGGGGTTCCTTCAGCAGCGTGTCCATGGGCGTAGAGGAGCTCTCTCTAAGGAGTTATTTCCCCCCGTGGACACTCCCTGGGGTGTGTGTGATTTGAACAAACGTTGGAAGGTGAAACTGTTTGTACGCTGTTAAAGTTTCCCCCCTCCCACACGACGAGGCGCCTGATAAGAAGGACGCACTTGCATAAGGGGAAGATATTGAAGCGGAACACACGCCGACACAACCGTTGTATCAGCTCCAAGCTGGCAAGGACGTTGTCGGGAAGGATATGGGGGCGCCCTCTTCTTTTCGCGATTCCACAGTTGACATTCGTTCGTGACAAAATATGGTTCCATTGGGGAGGCAAAAAAAGGAAAAACCTTTTCGAACTTAAAAAGTAAAAGAAGTGTTTTCCCCCGTTAGCGCACACATCGCAATGGTTCTTTCGTACTCAGTTGATGTTGTTAAGTCCACCAAATGGCTGCCCCATTTTTGCCATCAATCCACCGTATGGGAACTGCCGCCTCAAAGCTGAACAATATTTCTGGCAAACTTAGAGTGTTAAAAGAAAAAAAAAATGGGCGCGTGAATGCTGATTTGTATAGACACATCACCTGTCCACAGAGGAAGTTTTAAAATCTCTAATTTTGTAAAAATGTTGGTTTTATAAGGTTATTAATTGGCAGTTTGGGAAAAGTAGGAAGGGGAAACACGTAAGAAGACGCTGTGCATATATACGCATACGTACATATGCACTAAAAAT